GTGCTTTATTACTGGTCTTAACATATTCGGTAGGCCGTGGCAGGGGTGTGACCATAGGTTGCTGTTCCGCAATACTGGTACCGTCTTTCATGAGAGGGGTATCCATCGAGATGTTGGTGATTACCCGGAGCTCGGTGGCGTCAATGGGGTACTCAACCAAGAATTCATCATCTTCTAGATGGTAAGTGGCGATTTCCCACACAGGTGGTGCGTACTCTGTCGTCCACACGTCATCTTTCATGTCAAAAGAGTCATCATCATCGTCAGGTATGGGGTCTAGGTTAGGTAGTGCAGGTTCTTCATCAGGGATTTCTTCGATGGTGGCTGCGGGTATCGATTCTACGGATGGCAAGACCGGCTCTCTGGAGGGCGATTTTGGCAGTACTACCACTGGAATTGGATTCGCCTTTTTCTTTTCTGTTTTCTGGAAAAGCGGAGGGAGTTTGTTCTTCTTCTGTTCGCTATCAACTTCTTCAATCTGGTCACTTTTCTCTGTCTTAGGGAGTTCTAGCATTTCTGCTTTCCATCGGATTATTGGGTCCATAGCACATAGCCAGGGGATCCCTAATAAGATCTGGTCATGTCGGCCAAGCCGCGTGATATTGAATTTCCCGATCATAGATCATTCATCTATTTTGATGATGAGGATGCAGTATCGAGTGATAGCGCCCCCCTTCGCATAACTTCCATCTGCAGTTGTAACTTGGAATGGTTTCGATAGTTTATGCGATCAGATTCCGTGAGTCTTGACAAACTCTTTGGAGATAAAGGTTCCGGCTGCGCCGGAGTCAACAATGGCTGTTGTTTTGACGGTTTTCAGACGAGTCTTGGAGATGAGGGAAATGGGAACGCGAAGTTCCTTTCTAATTCCAATACTTTGTACAAGTCTGACGGGTACATTGGAAGATACTGACGTCAATCCAGTCTTCCACATCAAAAATCCTCAGCGAGGCGATGGATCATTGTATCTTCGTCTTCTTGGTCACTATCACCTATTTCCTCTCTGCGAATAGGGACCCTCTTCTTCTGTGGGCACGCTTTGGTCATATGCCCCTTCTGGTGACATGTGAAACATAATCCTTTCTTCATATGGTCACTTCTTTCTGCTTCTGTGAGCCGATCTACTTCCATAGCATTTGGGTCGTGTTGGTCGATAGTTGGTCTGGGTACGTAGTGCTGTCCCGACAGTTTGGTGGCGATTCGATGATTGGATCGATATGCGACACCCCTCTGATAGTTGCTGTCGAGTCTAATGACTGCAGCGACATATTTGTTGAAGTCTGTTGGGATGGTTTCCATCTGAAAGATGGAGTTGACGATTCCCTTCTTTAATCTGTCATTGAGGAATGTGATCAGGATGGCGTCTTGCTTAACACTGGCTTGCGCGGCAAGAGTCTTGAAGCTGGCGATGTAGGAAGTAAGATCACCTGTCTGTCTTAATGTCCTGAGTTTGTTCATGGCGGTGCCGATGGCGTCAGCTGGTACGAAGGCTTCTTTGAACTTGGTTTCAAAGTTCGTGAAAGTTCCATAGGACTTGGTGGCAGTGTTGTCAACTTCGGTGTAAAAGGTGAGCGCCCAACCCATGGCGCTATCTTCTGTCATATACACAAGAGCGGTGATAACCTTTTTCTCATCAGTATTGTAGATCGTAGCATTAAGCGCAAAGTATGCCTTAATTGCATACAACCATTGCAAAGCCTGATGAGGGCTTCCATCATAGGTGGACGGGGCCCCGGCTTTTAATTCTGGAGTGTTGGGGACAGTGGACATCCTGAGCGTCTGGTCAAGTGATGTTTTCTGGTTCAGGGGAACGTTGTCATTCTCTCGCTGAGTTCTTGTTTCTGAGATCTTTTAACCTCTCTGATGGAGAGGGTCAGTAGGCGACTTTAATCTTTTGTTACAGTGAACCGTATATCAACTAGGATAGGCGCAACGACAGATACTCGATAAGAGTAACGTCTGCGGTTGGATCACAACCTCACAAATGTAAGGTTCTTAAGACAAGTCAGAGAGAGTGTCTCCGGCTTGAATATCGGTTATCAGACGACTTAGGATTGGGGGTCCTAAGTGAAGGATAGTTCTGGGTAAAACCTAGTAGATTAAAGTGAAGATCTATCTAAGTACATGACTGGGTTTATATAGGTAAATAGATCCATATACATCATCAGTCGAGTCAGCGTATACGTCATCAGTCGAGTCAGAGATAAGGAAATGAGTCAAAGATAAGGGAATGAGTCATCTAGCGACGGCACATGGCGGTCGTGATGTAATACAGATATAGGAAGCGGTTAGTCTAATGATGGCACAGCAAGGTGCAGTCATGACGTAATACACGAGTAAGAGAAAAAGAGATAGGGGGGTAATCACGATTGTAACACCAGTATGGATAGCGTTGGGTTTGCTCTGGAAGTTGAGCTCGCACTGGACAAAGAATGCATGAAGTTTCCGGGGCTCAGTGCCATCAAAGACATCCAGCTCCCAGACCTTGACTTTAGGATCTTCGGGGAGGGTCGTGCGACAATTGTTTCAGGCGAGATTGTTGATAGCTCTGGATAGGAGTACCATAACGCGATCCTGTGGGCCCAGGCCATCATCTCTATCATCATCGTCTTCATCATCCAGATCATCATCCAGATTTCCATCGTTACCATCCAGCGGGTTTCCGCCAGGGGTATCATGATCAATGTCATTGTCATCCAGATCTCTTTGGCCCAGAGGGGCTAGGGCTGGAGTCCGTGTAGGGGTCTCCGGATGTTGATGACTCAGAAGCTCCGAGATGCTTCCGGCAGTAGTGCGCTGGCTAACATGACGCTGCGAGAAGCTATTGAAGGTGTCGACGATAGGAGTGGAATCGTGGCGGGCAGATACTAATCTGGCTGCTCGGAGAGTGTTTGCAGTTTTCATTGGAGCCATAGGAAGTGTAAGTATACTTGGTAAGGTGTGAGTTCAAATATACTGTTAAGGTTGTACTCAAAAGATAACTGGATCCGAAGGGCTTCAGCCTCAGCTCATGTGCTGTGCCCCTTACCCGAGTATTGCCCCTTATTTCAGGAAGGCAAGGCTAATGCATCCAGAAGGTCAGACAAGTAGTGTAACGGATCCGGATGACTTCCAGATGAGGGATAAGTATCGTAGGGCTAATCCGGACGAGTCCAGACTAGAAACTAATGGTAATGGACTGTTGGAGACAGAGGCAGATACGGATAGACTATAGGAATCAATCCTAAGTCTCGGAGGGTGATGAGAGTAGAGTTACTCAAGTCCAGAGGACAGGAATGAGTAGAACTAAGATGATATTCAAACTGAGGTACTACAGAAAGTTACAGGAGGTTATATACTATAGGTATCTAATGGAATGATCAATCAGCAGAGTCCAAGGCTATGTATGAAGCATGTGGATAGTCTATTGGTAAGTAGAAACAGATCACAAATCATGAAACAGAAATGAAACATAGATAGCAGATAAGGGAGCAGGACGGATATACAGATAACTGAAATACCGGAGTTAGGGGGTTACTTAAAGGAGATGAGCACTGGTTGTGGATTTGGATGAGTTGTGGACCGGACCAGATGAGTGGACAGGTTGAATGATGAGATGTTGGAGGGAGATAAGATGTGGATAGGATTGGAGATAAGATGTGGATCTGAGATGAGATAAGGGTCGGATCTGAGATCCAGATATGCAGATATGACACACATACACGAACCTAAATAAAAATAAAAATAAAAATTAGTAACCAAACCATCACAAAAAATCACAAAAATATGAGCACACCATGGAAAGATTATAATTAAATGTCTTCTGGTCCTTGGTCAACCTTCCATTGTGGGGCTTCTTGAAAGGGACTATGCACCACTTCTCAAGTGGGTATGCACTGTCAGCCCAAACCCAATGGTCATCTGGCAGAAGGGTTTCATGCTGTTGATAGAGATGAGTTGATCAGAAAGAATAGGTATCATGGACACTCCTGGGATGATCAAGAGCATAATCGACAATGACAAGGTTGTGAGGCATAACAACTGCCTAAAAAATATTTAATTATTAATCATGAAGGGAGGGGAAAAAATACCTGGCAGCCAAGAGAATAGTTAGATTTCCTATCATAGAATGTCTCACCAAAATGAGCAGGTTTGGCATAGAGGTCAACTGTTGTGCCATTAATAGCTAGAATGCCATTGCACCACTCAGGACAAGTCTTGGACTCTGCAAATTGCCAAGCAAACTCAGCATCTTCTGAATCAGGACATGGGAAACCAACAAATTTGTCATGCTGGTCAAGCAGTGCAATTCACAACTGACCCAACACTTATACCTGCCCATTGGGCAACATCCTCAAGAGAAATTGCATTGCCATAGTGGCCAGCACGATTAAGGAAAATAGCAAGCTGAATGGAAATGGGAAGTTGGGGATTATTGGATCCATTGAAAAAGATATGATGATCAGAGATTTGATTGAGGATGTCATCAAAAATGATAGGGTCAACATGTAGCTTTTGCCGAAATAAGTAAGGGCGGTGTTTCTAATGATGGACAAGCATGTGTAGCTGGGGAGCTCATGGGGGAGGCTCATCTGGCTTGTTGAGGACATGAGCCCTTGCAACCTCATCATGAAGAGCTGCAATTTGGTGCTGAAGCCAATCATAACATGCAGTGATCTCATCAGAATCTGTAGATCCATCAGAAAATTCACCAGAGGAGCTGGAGGAAAGGGTGGGTGAAGAGGTGATGTCCATGCTTGAATCAGAGTTGGAATTGGAGCTGAGCTAGAATCAGAGCTTGATTCCTGAGCTTCCAATGCATGCTGATATTGGAGTTGGGCTAATGACAATGCAGTTTTATCAACTGCATGAAGGAGATCTTTACAGCTGGATGGGCAAGGCATGATGTGGCTTGAGATTGAGATATGTGTTCCCTTATCATCCCCCTAACTGATCAGTGTGATTGATAAGCGGAGTTTAAATCGGAGTTTCAAAATTTACCATGGTCAGTGTGCTAAGTCTCACTCATTGTGGATGACAGTGACCAAGCTACCATCCCAGCTGTGCTGCCCTCCCTGGATGCTACCACTGGCAACTGGTTCCAATGCGCCTTCATCTATCACCTCCCTGAAAATCAACATTCCTAACAACAACACCAATAATACCACAAACATCATCAACTTTCATTCCCCTAACAACAACACCAATACCACTATGAACTCCATCAACTTTCACTCCCCTAACAACAACACCAATACCACTATGAACTCCATCACTCATGCAACGTGCAGTGCCAAAATTTTCACCTCCCAGCTGGGAGTCAGCCACACTGTGGATTTCTATGCACTTATTCATCCATGCAGGGGGCTGGTTCCTCCACCCATCAAACTGCTGCTGGCACCTAGCTCCCTCCCCCAAGCCCATACACTACTGGCACTTGGCCCATTCCCCCATTCCCTCACCTCCTTCAACTGACCCCTTGCCTCCTTCAACCAACCCCTTGCCTCCTTCAACTGACTCCTCAGCTCCCTCTCCCAAACCCTCAGCCCCCTCTCCAAGACTCTCAGCTCCCTCCACTGAACCAACTTGACATAACCAACCCCTCAGCTCCTTCCCCCAAACCCTCAGCCCCCTCTCCAAGACTCTCAGCTCCCTCCACTGAACCAACTTGACACTGGTGCTCAGTGCAGTCCCCCAGCTTACCTTCTCCCTTCACATCACCCCCCTCCTCATTTCACCAGTGCTGGGGGCAGTCCAGTTGATGACCCAAATAATAACCTCTATGATGACCCTTATGCCAATGACAACAGCCCTCTCTCTGCCCCCCACCACCGGTTGCTTGACCCATTCTGTTGTCATCAGCCCTTAGCCCACTCCCCCAAGCACATGTGCCACTATTAATGAGTCCCCCCTCCCCTCTCCCCGCAGCACATGTTTTTTTGTTCACTTGTGTGCTTGTCTGATGGGTCTGGTTCCTGGTACTTATTCATTGTTCCCCTCCTCACATAGTACATATAGCCTGCTGGAATTCTGTTGTTTGGGCAGGTGGAGACTGACAGACTAGTTATTATATTCCTACGTCCCTTATCATGCATGCTACTCACATTATCACTCACAAATGCACAAGTATGGTTTCGAAGTCTGATCTGTGCTGGCCATCTATGGCCAAGTTTGTTCTCAAACTTTACTGATAGTTTACTGAGTCTTAGCAAGTCTTAGCGATGTTTTAGTGAGTTTAGAAATCAACTCTGAGTCCCATTAATGTATTCAAGATGCTATTTCAAAAGAATGATGATCTGCAAATTTGTTAACATAGAACCCGCAGTAAGTATCTAGAGTCTCATGGAATGTGGCTTTCTCTGGGACAAATTCCTCACCAAAGATGGGTAGCAAGTGAGCTGCACAAACGATTGTGTCAACATGAATGATTGAGAGCTCCTGAGTGTTGAGCTCTAAGTCAAGAAAGGATGGCTTGACCATCCACATTCCATTTCCAGGATTGGGCTCATCAGAGACAAGCTTAAACCAGTGTACCAGAGCACACGGAAAAGTCTCTAAATCACAGCCATAATGGAAGGAAAAAAAACATAGCACATGGACAACTTCCATACCATGTATTCCATCCTCACTTCCAGTGTTCACAAATACAGTGTCATAGCATCCTAGACCTCCACACCATGAACAACAGCAAACTAGGATTTTCACCACAGGCCTCACAGGCCTTACAAGCACTCACAGGGTTTCACAAGTGTCACAAGGTTTCACATATTCCTCTTGTTTGAGTAGGCTTGTACATACTGTACAGAGACTTAAATTTTTGACCAAAATGATAGTTGTAGCCCTTATTAAGTGGAGCCTATCCATGGTCTCATGACATTTTTTGGTTAAGATCCCAATAAGTTATAAGCAAAATACTAGAAAGTGGTGGGTTCAAGAAAGTTAAGGCACAACTTATTTACATAAGCAAGAATGCGAAAATTCACTAAGTCTCTGCCAGCCACATCATGCGGCTTTGTTTGGCACTGCTTATATAAGCAAAAATGCGGTCAACCAAAGTCTTTCTCACTCACTGTCTTTCTCTAACAATTTTCAAGTGTTTGCCTCTCTTCTCTTCTTCTTTGATGTTGTTGTTGTTGTTGTTGTTGTTGGAGGTGGGTGGTGCTGGTACTGGTACTGGTGTTTTGAACTCTGGTGAGTCTTTTTCTCTTTCTTTGTGTTCAACTCTCTGACATTGTCTTCCTCCTCCTGTCTGGTGAGTTCCCTCTTTATAGCTATCTCCCTTCCTCTTCCTCCTCTAAGTTTCGTGTTTTTGCCTCTTTGGTAAGTCTCTCTCTCTCTCTCTCTCTTCTTCTCCTTCTCTCTCTGACCCCTCCTAGTTCTCTTCCTCTCCTTCAATTTTCGCACTTGTGCCTCTTTGGTGAGTCTCTATTCTTCTCCTTCCCTCTCTGACCCCTCCTTCTAGCTCTCTTCCCTTCTCCTCCTCCTCCTCCTCCTCCTCCTCCCTTTAATTTTCGCACTTGTGCCTTTGGTAAGTCTTCCTCTATCTCTTCTTCTCCTTCCCTCTCTGATCCTCTCCTTCTAGCTCTCTCACCTCCTCCTTCTCCCCAACAATTTTTGCATGTTTGACTATTTAGTGAATCTTCTTAGTGAGTCTCTCCTCCCCTCTCCTTTTCTCCTTTGATTCTTCTTTTGACCTTAGATTTTTGCATTTTTGTCCAGTTTAGTAAGTTTCATCTTTAGTTAGTAGTGTATATGTCTATGTAGTAGTTACTTTGAATTTGACTTCAATTTTTACATTTTTGCATTTTGGGTGTTTTGAGTATCATAATTGAACAAATATGGCTGCTCTGAAATGTACAGATTGTACAAGCCTGTACAGACTGTACTACCTTGTGACACTCTTGTACAGGACTGTAAAGAGGGGACTTCCTTGTGTCCCTGTGAAGCTTGTACAGACTTGTACAAGTCTGTACAGTCTGTACAGGTACCCCCTGGTTTGCTGATGAAGGGACAGAATGGATATGTTCATGTCGCATTCCCCCAATACCACTGGGATCACTCAGTGCAAAGAAAGTAGATACTGCAGAGCCAAAGACCTTGATGTGGCCTTCAAATCTGGGGCAAGCACTAAGCGGGATAGTGTCAGACGTATGTTCATCATCTGTGAGGAGTTGGTCATAGGGAAAAAGGCAGACCAGTCAGGGCAAGTTTGGTACACTGAGTTCTTCTGCCAGTGCATGAATGGTGCATGCTCATTTGCGTTCTTTTGTTGGGTCAGATAATAATATATATGAAAGAAAAGATAACACATGAGGTACGCATGCCAGTTTCACATCACATTGCACTTGGGCTCCCTCCACTGCACCATCATCTTCCTCATCACTTTCATCTTCCTTGCTCCTCTCATCTGCCTCACCACTGTCGTCCACTTCACCACCATTGTCCATTTCACCATCATTGTCCACTTCACCACTGTTGTTTGCCTCGCCACTATCCTCCACATCTCCATTGTTGTGTGATGGGTCTTGTTGGCTTATATCTATTCAATTTTTTATTCAGTACCAATATTATATATGATAAGAGATATACATACCAGGATGTGGACCTAACATTCCACATGCCATGAAGTCTGTATGTGCAGCAGCAAGTTTATCAAGGTGCTGGTTTGTTAGTAACATCTGTCCGAGTGCGTTAAATTTACTTGATTGTTGCCATGGTTCTTTAATGGCCTTGATGTGTTTTGACTCTGTTATGGATGAACACACACCATTTGGTGCACCAAACATGTGGATAAGCATAACATAATGCATCAGGGAATGCTGATGTGGTAGTGAGAATCCGTCAAAATGAACACCGGTCTCTTGAAAAATCTTGCAATAACAGTGAAACCAGTCAAGGGCCTCCTTGATTTCCTCAAGCATGTTCTCCATGATAATATCCTGTCATATGAGGTAGCAAAATTCAAGGAAGGCGCAAAAGCACTGGACAATGTCATTGGGGACATGTGCCTCAATTGCAGGCAAGTAGACCTTCATTAAGGCCTTTGAATTGTTGCCAGTCCATTGAGTGAATCCATGGCCTTGAGGAAACTGGCAAAGGCCTGCAAATGATGGTGCTGCAGCAATTCTAGAGAAACAAGTCCATGGGTTAGCAAGAGTCGCTGAAGAAATATTGTAAGGGTACCTTCTATCTATGTCATCCATTACCACCTTAGCATGAGTTTTTCTGTGTATGCATTCTAAGTACTTCTCGACCCAGACAACAAGGTGGTCTTTGAACATACCCTTGATAAGTTGATGCAGGATATTGGGGGACAGAAGTTTGTGAATGTCAGTGTGTGGATAATTGTTTGTAAATGGCTACTGTTGTTAGAAAGCTTCAAGCAGTTGGATCAAAATGAAACTTACTACGACATCAGCATCAACACCCCACTGATACCACAGCATACTGAAGTTGACATTATCACAAAGGACATTTGTGACTATTTGAGCATGAAGTTGGGCATCTTTGCCATCTAGATCTGCTGGCAAAGCAAAACATCTTAGGAATACATTAGATTTAGACAAGTTTGTGCAAAAAGAACACTTACTTAGCACACCAATTTGATATGATACAAGAAAGTATGACCTGTTCTGGATAATCCATGATGTATGGTCCTAAGCCATAAATGACACATTGAAAGTGACCATCCCCAAAGTGCATGACCTCAGGAACAGTCATGAAGGTCTTGAAAGACCACAATATTCGTGAGAGAGATGAATGAAATAATTGTTTCTTAAATTTTCTAAATTGCGCATCCTCAGAATATTGTTTTATGGCTGTAGAAACATTGTACAGGGGGCACTGCAGAAAATAAAAACACTACATACTCTTTGGTATGGCTAAAAAGCCAACAACAGCAACAGCATTGCGATGAGTGTGGTGAACATTATTCTTCACATTGCCAATTGATGCATAGAGTGGATAATAATCATTTTGTCTGGTTGCGACCGAGACCATTGTCTTGTCGCTTCCAAGAAGGATGGGTACAAAAGTTGAACCATGTGTTGCTGGATCTTTGGCAATTTCATCCTAAGATTATTTAGATCAGCATCATGTCAAATATCAAGTAGTTAAGAACTTACAGCTTGATTCCATGCCCAGTCTCCCGATATGACATTGTGCCACTGCCATTTTGTGTTACCTCCCTCTCCCTTCCATTCACGATAAGGCACATACTCCATCTCGTCCTTGAAGTCTGGATTGGCGAGCATGTTGCAGACCACAGCATGTGGATCTCAGAACCATGCAGTGTAAGGAGTATCCATCCATGGGGCATGAGCCTCCAAGTCAGAGTTGCTGGGAACTGAGCCTTCTCCATTAAACTTCATTGTGAAGCTCTCCCACGCAACTTCTCCAAGGGGTATTGCATTGATGGTTGAATACAAGTCTTTGTGGTCAGCGAATGGTGGGGTGTCTCTGTGATGCGCAAGGGTTCGTCCCCCACAGGTACATAAGCTTGTCAATATCACTGCCAGACATTTGATTTTTCATATATAAAAACTCCATGGTTTCAAACTCTGTGCAATCACAAAATGGTGTCCAGTCACCATGCTCTCTTGATGTGAATGGAGGTGGTGGAGCATCTGGGTGGATGAACTGACCATGTTCATCGCAGATTTGCCCTGTATTGATAGAAAAATAAGAAACACATCAGTGATAAAATAGTCAGATATGCACCATTGAGCTCTAAGTGATAATCTTGGTAGGTCTCCTTGGGATTTAGGACTGGAGTTGGAATGTTTGTGTTTTCAGCCTCACAGTCAAATTCTCCTGCCTCAAGGCCCAACTCTCCTGCCTCAAGGCCAAGTTCTCCCACCTCAGGGCCTTCTCCAGTCTCGAGGTTTGGTTCTTCAGAATGTTCTCGGGCTCCCTGCTGATTTGGGATGTCGAAAGAAGAGTTGTGCATGGCATGGCGATGTTGCGTGAGTCTGGATTGGTTTCTGAAAGAACATGTGCAGCCAGCATGAGGACAAGGAATTAGATTAGCCTGAAATATCTTGTGTGAATGAGTGTTCTTTTGGGACTGGCAATGAGGGTGTGCAGACATTGTGGGAGGGACTTAATCATAAAATTACTGCAGAGAAATTGAGTTTTGTAATGATAGTGCATGTCATGGAAACACAACATACTAATACACATAAAACACCCTTCAACAACTCTGAGTCCTACTAGTAGTGAGTTGACCTCATTGTCACCTTTTGGGTGTCTTCACTTCCATCTTGCTTGAGTCTTGCTGGTCATGGTTCACACACATCCAACTAATGTGTTGAAGAGGCCTGCTCAGGTAGTTTTGGACATGAAACAGAAGAGGCGGACTACAGCTCAGGTTAAAGAAGATCAGGCATGCACTGAGAAGGAGCAAGAGGAACAAGACCAGAAGGCAAAGCAAGCCATCATGCAAGTGGCTGCCAGCTCAGCAGAAAGCTGCCATCCAGCAGGAGAACACAGTATCTTCAAAGAAGCCATGACCCTGCCCAACTGGCAAAGGCACTGCAGCAACATCTTCTCATGCTCATGTTGTTGCAGTTGATGACAATGAAGATGAAGACTCTCAAGTCCTGGGACAGAGGAAACACATCCAGAAGACTGATCACCACAATGCTGTCAATGCGGTCCGAACTGCAATGCAGCCATCTCACCCATGTGCACCAGATGCTGCCAGGAATGGAAACAAGCTGATGTGGGTGTTTTTTCAACTGCCCATCATGCTTTTACTTACTGGAACAACGTTATTTTACTGGAATCTGCTCCATGAATTTACCAGCGACCTAAAAAAAATATCTTCAGTTTCAGGTTGGGCTCAACAAGTCAATACAAAGATTGAGTCTACCCCATTCAAGGCGCCATTGCACTTAGAAAGTGCCTCTTCTCTTTCTCATCCCACTGGATCTGCACTATCTCAAGTCACTCATGCAACAACTAATGCAACAACTACTGCTACAGCTCCCCCTGTGACACCTGAAAGCTCTGTGATCAACAACGATGTTGAAATTGAAGATCACACACCAGACTTGGCTGATGGGCCTGAGCACTTAGCAGTGTATACTCTTGCAAAGATGGGTAAACCAAAGCACATCCAGAAATCAATGGTAGCTAAGTTTTTACCTAGTTTTAAATTTGTTCAATACTAACTTACTTTTAGGACGTGATTGAAGTCGAGGATGTTTCCCAACCTCCAACTCCACCAATTCCTTCACAAATGAGGCTCCTTCAACATGGTTTGGGTAGCACCTGTCCTCATATCACTTGGTCTGAACCAAAGGATGTTGCAGTGGACCCTGAGGGCCAGGAGGACTCTATCATGATTGTGGATGATGCTGATGATTTTGATCTTGAAGACTACGATGCCAGCGCTGCCACAAGGAACACAGGTGGGAATAAACGAGTCACCACATTGGTAGGTTACGCTGATTATGTAAGACTTCACTACTAACAAGATTCATATTCCAGACCAACGTGGAAGTTGTGGATAATGCTCCTCTGCCCAAGCATATCAAATGAGAGGCAGAAGGTGACATGATTGCTGGAGAGGCCTTGAGGGCAAAATACAAGAGCAGCGACCTTCCTCCTGGCTGCTTGGACTGAAATTTATGGCACAGGGTGTTTATTCCCACAGTGGCACATGCAGCTGGTGGTGAGAATGTCCACCCTTGGTTGATTGAGGATGATGTACTCATCCCAATTCTTACTAAGGCATAGAACATCATTTATGCAGACAATCCATCCCTGATGAAATACCAAATCATACCTGGTGGTGCTGTCTATCATGTGGTACATCAATGGTGTCTTCAATTTCATACCAACACTTCACAAATGGTAGGTTAAACAACGCCTCAGTGAATGGCACAAAGGGTTTGGATCTGCCACTGTCATGATCATTACAAGTCTCATAGCTTCTGACACTACATACAAAACTGACCAAGAGCATACCAAGTTTGCCAAGTTCTGGCTCAAAGACAACCGCTTCCTTTTCTCAGATGTTAGCTCTGATGACCCAGAGGTTTGTGTTGTTTCTGTATTGCTTTGTGCTAATGCAATTTTATAATTCAGGCATGGTCAGGGATGTGGCAGTCTATGTTTATGTTGCAGACTTTCGCTGCACACCTAAACTATACTCAAGGCTGGATGGAAATTCCAGCAATCAACAGCGAAGATGAAATCATGCGGGCATCACTTGCTTTGTTGGCAGGGGTGGTAACTATCCTACCTTTATGTTTCACTTTTCCTTACTCATTTTAATTTTTCAACAGGTAAAACGTGCTCTGTACCTCCTTTCTGTAGGATTGATGAGTTTTACCATCACAGCAGCTACTGGGAAGGGAAAGAAGAAAGCTGCTAATACTACATGCAAGGGTAAGGCATCCACTTCTAATGGAGACATCTGGGAGGCTGTGATTGGGGAGAATGAGAGCTTCTCTGAGCTGCTGTAGAGACTCGCTCCTCTATATTGCCACTATAGGATGATATACCACCCCTTCCCACTGATACTTCAGTTCTGATCCTCTGGATAAGTCACTCACACTATTGCACACTGATGCGCAACTGCCATGCACACACAAATGTGCTTGCACATCCTGCACACCCACTCTAGGTCCTCCACTACAGTCCATCCACCCGTCCATGTCCTTGCTAAAGTCCACTGGTGTGTTTTTATCATACTCTTATCACTCTGATGTACCTTCTGGGCCAATTATAGCACTATAAACATGCAAGCACGCACTTAAAACACTATTACATACAGATATCACTACCTACTCACTTCACCTCTGCACTACAAGCATCGCCTAATGCCCAATATAGAGAAGGGACTGGGAGTTTTTTAGAGTACCTTATCCTAGCACCTCCCACCTCTGTGTAGTAGCAGTAGTTTGCACATCAGAGCCAGTTTGAAAGCACTAAGAATTTGAACTCATGCGCTACCTTTATAGATGCAATCACCTCTAGTCAGCTCGATTCTCTCTCCACTGGATTTCATTTCCAGATAGCTCTAGCATCTACGCTTTAGACCCCCATTGCGTGCGCTCTCACTTTCTATTGCATCAGCACACTTTCGCTGCACATCTTCTTCATGCTTCTTCCAGTATTCACACATCCTATAGCGCCCATTCAGTTTTGGAGTCTCCCTCAGTCATTTTAAGGACCTTCTCTCAGTAGCTGTCCTTAGGGTCAAGTTCTGTCTCACATCCAGGTCTTGCTTTAGAGTCCCCCTAAAAGTAGTCAGTTTCTCCCATAGTCCAAAGTCCTCACCTTCACCACTCTGGGGTTACGATACGTGCATGTTCATGCAAGCAATCAAGAACATTCCCTCCACAGTCATGGAGGGCATCATTCAGCAAGCCCAGCAATACATGAAAGCTACCCCTCATGGAGGATGGTCCAAGGGCACTGACAAGCCTGTGGAGGAAGAGATTGATGAAGAATATGTCAATTTACTTGCTTTCTGCTAAAGGTAAGTTCATTTCACTGCATGTATTAACCATTGGCATTCACTCATCATCCTAATTTCCAGATCGCTGTTCCCTGGATCCTCACTGGTACATCACTTCTTGGTTGCATTCTCTCAAGCTTAGTATGATGTTCTGGTATCACTGCTTGCTTCTATACCATCTTTTCCACATCTCATTGATCATGACTTCCATCTGAGCCGCATGCTGCTTGATTTTTTCCACCACAATTTTCTGTTGCTACATCTTTCATCCTGCTTGACATGTTTTTGACCTGTGCTTTACACATTTCTAACTTCGTCTTAATTGCATCTTGTTACACACTTACCATTTTGGATAATCTCGACATTTGTTTTGCAAAGCGCATTAAGACAACTCTAAGCTCAAACATAAGAAAATGGATCTAATTTTTTCAAGTGTGGTGTTCTTACTTGTTCTGGACTTGAATTGGACTTTGTTCATGATTTCAGCGACTGACCTTATTAAGGGAACATTAAGTAATATGTAGTTTTCCTGATGTGGCGGCACCCGGTTCATCCTTGGAAGCTGATTTCGACGAGTACGTCATCTTTCAGTTTCCGTCTACGGGCTCATTTCTACAGACTGGCCTTTGGTGTTTTGGTGATCAGAATGCGGAAGCGTTCAATCAGATTATGTACAAGACAGCAAGGGACGAACTCGCGAAGATATCTGAAGAACACGAGGTCGTTTGAATCACACCTGCAGAGTACGGGGCGTCATGTTTGTCGTTAATGTGGTCTTTATCTATCCCATAATAACCAAAGTGTGGTCAGTCTTGGGAGCACATGAGGACCTACGCCTGGTGACCATTGTACCAGCCATCTGGGGCTGTAGGATTCCCCTATGATTGTGAGCTGAGGTCCAGAAGCGAAACAAGACCGAGTCATCAAGCACTAGCTGATGTTCTTGAGCTTCAATCAGCTTATCACTCTTGACTCGGACATCGAAACTTTCTGCTGAACTCAAACAAAAGTTTTGTTGAAGTTGACATCACCAGCCTCGTCTATGTAGTACTACATACATTGTCTTCAACTCTGCGACTAAAAAGAACGTTCTAATATTATTTACGCAGTAAGGTGCCAAAATACCAGCCCTCAGCACGAAAATATTATCATATCTCAACCTCATAAATACGTCCCTACTTCAAGATCCTACAACTCCTCTCCATACTTGGCCATCACGCTCCTCAACGACGCCTCGTCTCCAAACCGCGGCTCGAAGCGCACAGTAAATGGTTTTGGGTGCGCAATCACACCATCCACGAAGCCCGCTTGGTCAACAGGGTTCTCTGGGTCCTGCGTGATCTTGAACGACCACAAGAGGAGTACGAGGTTGATGAAGACCGAGCGATTCGCTATGTGCCGACCGGGGCAGATTCTACACGTCGATTTTCAGTATGTACAACGTGGCTTATCAGGGAAAGGCATACCTGCGTCCAAAACCGAATGAAGGGAACTTGAGGTCTTCCCGGATTTTGCCATCGCTATCGAGCCATCTCTCAGGAATGAACTCGTCAGGGTTGGGATAGACGCTCGGGTCGCGCGAGATAGCCCTGTCAAAGGTGATCAGCGCACACATTTCGCCTAGAATGTACATCATTCAGTACCAATGGTTGCCAAAGACGATAGCACCCTTTGGTATACAAATGTCTTTCTGCTCAACCAGCGATTCAATTCGGGGATCACGCCAGAGCATTAGAAACGTACGTATACGATGTCGGTTTGGGCACAGTGGGCGAATCCAAGAGTTGTTACGGGCCTCCAGCGAAGACATTCCAGCATAAACGCCTCAACCTGCGGGAGGGAACTGTAATCGTCGAACGTGGGAGCTATGACAACCGAATTGAGATTCATTTATTCAGATGAGCTCACATGTTGACTTACCCCTGTCACGACCAATGACGGTATCCAGTTCCTCTTGCACCTTCTCCTGCGCCTTGGGAAAGCATGCAGAAGCCATGACAACAACCATAATCGCGACAGCAGTCGTGTCTGAACCGGCGCCAAAGAGCGAACCAGTAAGATAGGCCATTTCGTCGTCCGAAAGCTTGTGCGAAGACTGATTCTCAAGAAGATACCGAGCAAACGAGGGTCCAGCTTTGTCGGTCGCCTGCGAAGAACAGGTCAGGTAGGTATTGAGGAAAGATGATTTAAAAAAACCCGACCAATTCTTTCGAAACACGATCAAGTTGATCATGGAAGAGCTGACTCTCTTCCATTCTCCATTGCTCCAACTCGGTTGTGTATCCCGGGACGAATCTGAATATTGGGAAGCGTTCTATCAACAGCGCACCAGGTCGCATGAGCATCTGGAAGCGTTTGAGCATCTTCTGGATGATGACGATCTCCGGAGCATCTATGGCGGTGGGCGTAGGACTTCCCATACATGACACGCAAGATCACTGAAGCGGCATAGCTTGAGTTGAATGCGTAAGTGGTTATACAATCAGCCATAAAGTAAAATATACCGATTCGCCGCTGCCTGGTGTTCTTTAGGGTTATCAAGGATGTCAAAGATGACATCACGGGCGGCATTCATTTGGATGGGCGCATAGGATTCTGCGGCCTTCGCTTGAAGGTGAGTGTGTGCGGCCCTGGATAATATAACTTCAGTTAAGTGGTCGCGAAGAGAAGATATTACACAACTTGCGAAGTCTCCGGAACTGCTCTCCTGCGGGTGCAAGGATCAGACGCAGCCCGCGAGATAGAATCTCTCCTGCTGCAACTGCACGGGGGCGGTCTGCTAGTAGACCACCTTCTTTCTCCATTATGTCAACGGATTCCTGTGCGAGTGAGCATGCGCTTTAGTAGCCCTTAGTTCGGAGTCATCTTACCTGATATCTGCCAATGATGACCATGACCTTGGGCCCGACTCGAAGCGAGATAATGGATCCGTAGGTATTAATCCATTCAGCAAAACGTTGAGATTGGCTGCAATATGTCCATTGTTAGTGTCCACATAGACTCGGAGAGTATGTGCTCACTTGGCTCTTGGTATAGCGTTTCCAAACAGCCAGTGTCCAGGGGGTCCAGGAGGAAGAGGCAAGCGTGACCTTGATCGTATCTTAGTGCGGAGGAAACTGCCTGCTAGAACGAGAGCGACCAATGCTCCTAGGGCCTTGAATTCAAATCTTAAGTCGATCATTGCTTAATGATCTACCAGCGCAAATACAGTAACTTTGTGAAAGGGAGCAAACGGAGGGACGAAGGACGGTAAACGCATAGTGGAGCAGTCATGTTCTATCTTATAGCTGTCGAGCTGACACCGACCAGTGCTGAAGCGCTGATTAGAGACTAATCCTATTGGGTGATGGAAGGCCCCGGGATTCCTGACTGTTAAATTTTTATCCAGACATGACAGAAATTTGGGTCGAAATGTGAATTTGCCCTAATTTTTACAACGATCGCACTTCCGACGTCGCGCTCAGCGGGCCTAGACAACACTCTGCCTTTTGGTTTTCAGGTTCACAGTACAAGGATGGTCTGGGATAGGAAGCTACAGTAGGGCCCTCTACAGTACAGTACCGACCAGAGCGATCGAAGTTAGCGCTGCATGAATCAAGTCTACTAGCTGCAACAGTACAGCCTGTCTTTGGCATGTTCGATGTTAGCGTCACAAGAGACATACTGATTTTGTCCAGACTTTTTCACCATTAATTCAAACATCAAACCCATACCTGAAATCAGGCATCCCCCACGTGTATTCGGGGGGCCTGTAATGAATCGATCGTTAGTGCGGCTTTAGAAATTAGAAGAGGCGTAGCGCTCTGCCAGTTGTCATGCGTGACGCAACTAGTATGACGCATCGATGAAAATCGATGCGGTGATCCACCGCGGTGTTCGCAGTGGACATATACGTCATATTCTAGTTCGTGTTTGACCATTCATTTTGGGTATTCGAGTACAGGTTTGCGAAGAGCTTTAAGAGAGACGAAGAGACGCAGCTTGGCTCTGCTTAGAGTCTAGAGGCCAAGGATGATGCTAAGGCCATTTACTAGCAGAGCGGTTGCTAGTACTTTGCTAGTACCAAACTAATACACCACTTGGCACATGATGGTTTGATGTCAGTGCCTAGACCCTAGCTACATTTAGAGAACTACTACCGCAAGTTCCCGCTCTATTTCACACCGCCACCTCAAGTTACTTTGACCACCGTGTCTTCTAATGACGGGCGACGTTACCAGGCGATACAGGCCGTTACCTTGTTGCCTAGTGTGCGGACAGAGTCAAGCGTGTTTAAACGTCGCTGAGGACCTCTGAGAACACCCTGGGAGTAGTGATCAGTGAATCGCCGGGACCGGCCTGGCCGGTCACCTACTACGACCGTCAACCTGGGTCAAATACCCGCATTCAACCCACGGGTAAGACTGTTCTAACATTCTTCTGGTTCCACACCTTCCCACCCAGGAGCATTGCGGGTGCGGGTGCACTCGTAGGTGGGTTGTTTTAAGCACAAGAGAAGTCCATCCACCCGGGTCAAGTATGCAACCCCAAACATGTAAGCACCTTCTGCTACCTCTCGTTTCACGCCTCACCTTTTTCGTTCTGATGAGCGGAAATGTCTTACATTCCGACTCTTTGTGATTAGCATTAGTCACTTGCAGGCTTCGTCATGCCCCGAGTCTGTCATCCAAGCAACCCTCTTACTATGTAATATTTATGATTTGGTGCGGATACCGGAGGTTTTCTCATTTGGTTGATTGCTTTGCTTGCAACTGTCTGCTTATAGTCGCAACTCTGAGTCCCGAAGCCTGTCCACTGGTCAGTAACCAGTCTTCTTTGGCATCCAAGGACGGGAGTGGAACAACTTGCAAGACAATGAAACCAGGCCTTTGAATATACGAACACTGTAAGCAAATCAATCCGACGGCTGTCTTCTGTAACAGCGCCTGCTCCGTACTTGACACTGCTTATGACATCATCACATCCGTAGGTTGGGTGACGAGCAGTGCAAAGCAAAATCAAGTCTCTAGGTCGCGCCACCACACGAGTGAAACATCAAGCGGAACGAGTCTGACTTCGACCAACAAACCAGTGACCTTGTGGTGTCCATAGCAAAAGTCACATCGAACGTAACAAAAATTTTGCTTCGATTCAACTAAGTAGTTCACCTCGCAACAACACTACGTGATGTATGCAATATACCGAACTGTATGTCCGTGAATTCAAGAAGAATCACAAATCACAATTATACTTACCACATCGCCGTAATAGTCGATTGATAGTCTGCAGCAGCCGAACTCAGTTGAGTCCACCAATCATATCGGGACCGCTCACGGATCAACGTAAGCGCAGAAGACCCGCAGAATTAGACTCAGGCGACTGGTCTTGTATAATACAACCTACGATGACTACCTAAGTATTAGGTGAGTCGATAGTCCGACGAACAGCGTCTCCGGGACGCATCAAACTGTGACCACTGATCTCAAGTTCACAGTAAGCACGACTGAAGACTTCTATGGTACTTAGTTATCACGTTACTGCAGTAATTTTTCATGCCCGGCAATCGGTAACGGGGGAAATTCTCAACCGATATGAGAAGACATTGAGTTACCGTAAGGATTCAAGTTTGGTGAAGGGTATTCTTGTCGTGGGCGCAATTCTTGAAGAGAGGTTCTCGACCTTTCTCGACCCTCCATGTGAATCTTATGGATAGTGTCACAACTCGCCTAATACGGTTCCTCTCACTTAAATTTCAAGACTAACTTTGAGGGTATTTGAAATATGAGGACTTAGTTCTAAAGACGGCCAAGTTCAGCGAAGTTAATGCACACCATGGGCATAGATATCCTCATTTGAACCTTTAAGTTCCTGCTTGTCTTCACCAGTGCGTGTTTTGCCGTCATACCAGCACCCGAATAGTACTAGTAACCTCACCGGAAGAATGTACATTGTACAACGAGAGCCGGAAGTTCCGATCTACACACTTCGATATCACTACGGATCACCAGGGACCACCAGGCCAGGATTGCCAGGATTTGCTTCAAGTTGTTTGATAAGTATTCAACGGCCATAGCGATCGTGAACCTTGTTTGACATTCAGTGGCAAAGGTCAAAAAAAAAAGAAAGTAGAACACGGGGGATTTGATTTTGATTTCGACGGCATTCGCCTAGGATGTGCCTAGACATCCAAAACGTCCCACTACCCAACTCGGACCTCTCCACACTGGCATGCGGCCGCGTTGGCGAAGCTCCAATAATGACATAAAGCCATGCGGTTACCTTTAGATATGCATTTTCATTAGAGTTAATCGTTGCATGCGAGAGCTATATCATTTCAAACCTCCCAACCGCGGAGCCTATATCATTTATGCGATTTGCCGTAGGTCCTACGGCGTTTTGTACCATTGCATCCGAGGGTGGACCCTTGAATTATTTACGACAGGCGGGGTTGGAGGTCACCTCAGTCAGAGGCTCTGAGTCAGTCTAAGCTGTCGAAAGGATAAACAGAGGGCTTTTAAAAATACTAGAACGTATTTTAGGATCTGTGGGCTGACTGGTCCGATGATCAAGCACTGTTCCTTGTGTCTAAGAATACGGGTATAAGTACAGCATCTTATCTCAGCCAAGTTATGGGATATCAAAATAGTGCTTACATACAGTAAATTGAAACAGCGTGTGAAATATCAATGAGGCAGGGTCGGGATATATAGACGCTTGCTATCCTGGTACTTAGTTCCTTACTACCTTCAAGATCGACGGCGAACCACCAACTTTTGACTCTCTCTTTCATTCTGGTTTTTTTTCTATTCATCCTGTCCGATAATGCGCTTTGTAGGCAATCCAAAGATTGTCCGTCAGATCCGTTGTTTATTGACAGCGATGTCCTCCAAGGTCCATGCGAAACGGTAAGTGTTTCATCAGCTGATACGTAGTAAAACTCGACGAGGGTGGATCATATGCCCTCGGTAACATCGAGTAACCATCCGTGTGGTTTTTTGTCCTCTAGACTGTCTAATGTTTCTTGTTACAGGCAAAATAGCTTCTGTGACACCCCCCGGATATCATTCATTCATTCGCCTGCACTTGATCTTCCGTATCTACCAACGGAAATATGGCTCATGATTTTGCGGGAAGCCACAACTATGAACTCAGACCCCCTCGACATTTCCCTTGGTCTGTCATTTCTGGAAACCCCATGCGAAGTCGCAGAATACCACGCCGCCATGGAGATCAAACGGGACCTGTCGCTTGTAAGCAAAGCGTGGAATAGATACATGCAGGAGTACATGTATGAGTTTGTTTGGATCAGTCGAGCTAGCCAAGCAAAAGCGCTCGCGCTCACCTTGCTCACACAATTTATAGAGGGCAAGCCTTCAAGCGGCCACTACATCCGCCGATTACACATGGAAACACCCGTCCTTATGCGGTGCGCCACGGATGACATCCGTACCATTCTCGATTACTCCCCACATCTCGTCATCTATTCCGATCATCACTCAGTAAGATGCACGCGGTATTCAGAATTCATCGATGTACGCTGTTCCCCGGAACAGATGGTTTCTGTTCTCGCGAGTTCGAATAGCAAACTCCGGAGACTTTCTCTCACCAACTACAGCGATGACCCCTTCCCAAAACATGTGTCGCCACTCCTCCGGCGCACTGCAGCTAACCTCGAATACCTAGAACTTTCGTCGTCCAGCATACCCCTCGTTTCTGGCCACCTCTTCGCGTCGAAATCTCCCATTGTTTCCCTTCCTGTACTTCAGTCCCTTAAGCTAACCCTCGATAACACAACATTCGCGGTACTTGCGGCATGGGACATGCCAAATCTGCGAAATGTGTCCGTAGTCTCTTCAGATTTTGGTTACGCGGGCCCCGGATTCGCTTATTTCTTTGCCGCGCATGGCAAAAAGCTACACCAGCTGGAGCTGGGACACTCTTCTTCGCTCGTCGTCGAGCACTACCTCTCGCTTCGTCCTCGCCCTGTGCAACAGATTCCACTAGCAGACTGGTGCCCCAACCTCAAAGAGTTCATCTGTTCTGCGGATGCAGAGTGGAACTGGCAGAACCCAGATTGGATAGCGCCACACGTCCTCCTTCCTGGGCATAAAAGCCTCGAATTCATTGGCATCCGAGATATTGATAAGCGCCTCATGGATGATGCATCTGCTTTCCCTGCAGACGTGGAAGATGAAGCGCCATTTTTCCCATTGGTGGAGCAAATCTCGTCGCTACTCTTCAACAATGCCTTCCCGTCTTTACGCTACATCCGTGACCTGAGCCGCGCATCCCATTCAATGCGGGGCGGACAACGTCCGGAGACGCGAATCTTGAAGTTTTGGGCCAAGATTCTTGCCCGTTGCGGTGAGCGGCAGGTCTGGCTGGAGGATTTCCGAGGCGTCAATATTACGTTGCGGGATCTGAAACGGGTAGGGCTTGACCGTGTGGGAGGTGCTGGCAGCCTCGTCTAGTCCTTTATTTCATCTGTTTCTGCATGCATACCTTCAACTTCCGCTGTGTCACTGTATACCTGCGTCACCGTCCGTCTATCACTGTATCAAACACTCGTACATGCATTCTTCATTCACCTCATAACCCACATACTACAAAATACCATAGCACTCGTTTCTTGGTTCTCTCCTTCAATTTTTCTATTCACTCTACATCCCTCTTGTCTCCGCGCTCCCAGCATCCACGCGCGTATACCTCGCTATCTTTGCTTTCCAATTCTTGGAGTTGGACACCTTTCCGTTGGACGATTTCTCATTTCCATTTTCTTGGTCGAGGGTCTTTGTTGACTGTAGCATATCATCGCATCACATCACATTATCATACGCTTATTTCCTCGTCGTTCGTTCTCTCTCGACTCATTTTACTCATTGGTTTTTGGAGGCATCTTTGTGGCATACGATACCATAGTAGGGTGGAAATGACAACTTTTTTTGGAGATTGCTGCGTGCTTGGACGATTTGAAATCAAATATTAATCACCCAGATCTGAGATCTGCATCTCCACAACACTTGTCCACTTCATCGTAATTACAGTGCTAGTAGTCTTACTAAACAATGGTAAGCGTACTCTACTCATATTCGTCATCCACTCATCGCCATCCAGGACGCTGACATCGAGCACTTGGTCCTCTCAGGCAAGCTCTTCGGCACAAACTCACGTTCCTCCTCCCCCGAACGCAGCCCCTCCCCGACCCTATCCTTCGCATCCGCGTCCTCAGAATCCTCCACCCACCAGCCTGATGTGGCACAACAAGAATCCATCGGGATGGGTCCTGGGCGTACGGGCGTAAAAGGCGTCATCCGCGATCAACACGAAGCAGCTACGCTACAAGCCGAGCGGCGTGCACGAGAGATGGAAGAAGTGCGCCGACGGATGGAGAGGGCTAATCTGGGTGGGAAAACATTTTTAGAGGAGGAGGCGGAGAAAGAGGCGTTGGATCCTGAGAAGGGGGAAAAGCGGATCGATGTTGATGTCCTGGGTCTTCCTAGGGCGGGGCGATTTGGCCATCTAAGGGAAGTTGGTCGTGGGGGGTTCGTGAGTGCTGTGGAGAGGGAGGATAGAGGTGTTTGGGTGGTTGTTCATCTGTATGAGTCGGTGAGCTTTTTTGTATATCGTGTTTGGGCGTGGGTTGGTTCTGAGGGGTTTTTGTTTTGTGGTTGTAGTCGTTGGATCGGTGTTATGCGCTTGATGAGATGCTGGCGCGACTTGCGCGGACGTACCCTGAGACGAAGTTTGTTCGTGCGAGGGCTGCTGCGCTTGGGTTTGCGTCGACTGCTTTGCCATCTTTGTCGTCTCGGGTGCGGTCCAAGTCGGATGGGATGCCTGGGCGATTTGTCGATGATGATGAAGAGGATCCATATGCTGATGGGGCTGGTGAGAAGCCTTATTACGATGATGATGACGATGAGGGAGAACAGGAAGAGGACGTCGACACTGACATGCTACCAACACTACTGGTCTATCGCGACGGTGAGCTCGTGCATAATTGGGTACGTGTAGACTGGGAAGCAGGGGAGGCGGGTGTTGAGGATTTACTCGCAAGGTAACTGATTTTGTTTCCTTATCTCGTTTCTCATTTTCAGAACCTCACATACTATATTGTTTGCAGACGAAACGTCATCTCGTCATTCAGGTCAACTGGCAATTGCGGCCTACCAGAAGATGACGGTGATGATCTGATATGGAGTGACGAAGACGATAAAGAACGATGACCTGCGAATCAGGGTTCTTACTGTTGAAGTTCCGCGCCCTTCAAAACATCGTACCTATCTTTGTATCTCCCGGCTTTGGTGGTCCAATTCCCTGGTATTAATATTGGGTGCATATAACCATTGTGGCCTGATACTTAGGACGTAAACTTGTTCTTGCATTCCATATACCCAGCAGTGCAGTCTGTTCCTCATGGTCAGGGCTCCACAACGGGACATCGTTGATTTTCATGGTCGCACATTGATGTGAATAATTATCTTGCAAGGACCTGATATGGGTGGTACTACGAGGATAGTATGTATAGTACCATTACCTGGTTTTTCTTTGTGCAATCTTTGTGCAATCATCTCTGAAATTTGATCCGTGCCGTGTGCACGTTGAATTCATAATCGTATGGCTATGTAACTATATATTAAATCTTTGGTCAACGCGCTAGCGTGGAATCCATGCGTACATCATGCTCCGAGCGGCCGAGCCTCGAGGCCGTTCTGAATCCCAGCATGCAATCGCATCCCTATGCAAACCCGTGTGAGAATCACCTATCAAATGAGTTCTAGTCTGCAGTAGGGTATGACATGGGTCGACCCATGTCATACCCACACCCAACCTGCGGGTACCAAAATGTTCAGAGGCCTACCCGCACGGGTCAGAGCATCGTGGGTGCGGGTCAACCTGCAGGTGGTACGGGTCACCGGTGGGTGAGTGGACATAGTTTGCGAAACTGGTATGTGCTGAGCAATGAAACAAAGTACGTACGAAACTTAGTTTGAGTCAAATAACATTCTCGTAACACTTTCCCTTCCCTAGGGCCTAGCCTTTGTCCTTTGCCATCTTCGTCTGCATGACTGATGTGACGGCACCAGGACCATTCATGAAAGGTGTGCTGTATCATGATCCGGCGCCACTTGAGCTTTGAAGGTTTGCGAAAGGTCATTTCCTCGTCCAAGAATTCCCGCTCTAAACGAGTGAGGACATCGTTCTCGTCACCAAATTCAAGGATAAGGATATGCTCGATCTCCATTTTCGATACTGTTGGGATCATCTTGGCTACCTTGACTTTTTTCGCTTCAGTTGGAGAAAAAAAGGGATATGAATGTCCAAGCACGTTAATTAAGTTCAACTCAGCTACCAAGATATGATAATAGCACCTTCGCAATGAGGTTGACGAGGGAAATATCGTGAACGACAGGCACGTTCCCAGCAGTTTGGACCACGGAAATTTGAACTCGAGATAGTCGCGGCTGCCGTCAGCTTTCAAGCAACGTCGTAAGGATATCGTGAAGTGATCATATGCAGCGGAATTCCACTAGCAGCTGAAGGGCCAGTGAATTTGTGACTGAAATTGAATGAAGAGGGGGACATACATATCATCTCGTCGTCAGGTTTGTCCCAAACATCAACATCAGCTTTTGTTCGTTCCATTGATAGTGAATGACTTTCCGCAGACGAAATAATGCGGCCTTATCATACACCGGACTTTGAAAAACAATTTCCAAATTACCCAATAAGATATTCTATGCGAAACCATAGGTCAACGGAATATCACGGATATCATATATCAGGATCAAGCGCTGCAAACGAGACAGATATGGAAGTAATCGATGAAGAAGCTAATGGCCAGATGACATTCCGTAGGATTTAGAAACTTCGTCTTCAGATTTCCAAACCTAATTAGCTTGTGCCAACAACCCGATGAGTCATTTTACGATGTTTTCACACTCCGCCTGGCCACCCATTCCGATTTCAAACTTTCATCTGAACGAGGGTTCTACTCTTCTTCCTCTTCTAGCTCCCAACGTAGTCCGCGACACCCCCCGACTCTGGCATTGCTCGAATCAACGGAACTCATAACGGCAAGGTGAGATGATCGAATGTCAAACTAACCATTTATTAAGTGAACAATGCACTAAAGGTGAGTCGGGCCCGACGAAAAACTAACCATTTACCAGCTGGTGAACAGTGCAATAAGGGTTGGACTCGGGCCTGATGAAAACATAGCTCTAGTTTCAAGCCTGTCTTTAGTCAAGACCCCGATTTTCGCCATTCTACCTTGACCTTGAAGCTGAGAAACAGATATTCGGAGGGCATTGAATGTTTACGATCTGTCGGCTGATCTCAACATTAAGATTTGCTTATATATCGTAAGGCATGAGCTTTATGATTGCTCTGTCACCGGAGACATGTCACGAGGAGTAAGGATTGTTCGCCACTGTATCACAGACCCAGCATCAAGGATATAGTAAAAACTATCGACGTCAAAGTCCATTGTGGTGATGAATGCCCTGTTATTGAATGCACGGTAGAGTGTCTGCTATGGAATAGCAATGGATGGGCTCGGTAGCAGGTCACTTCGCATGAGATAGGTGTGATGTGGACGTCTGCGTTCGGTGCGTCTTTGTTGGGCTTCATCAGCGCCTGCTCCCAACACAGCAGCTTGCTGGTGTAATTCCTCGTCGGTGTATGCTGCATCCTCCAAGATATCGTGCTGGATTTGTAATTCGTCCATGTGTGTAGTTGTTCGTCTCGTGTGTCAAACAAGTCACGGCTCGATGCACCGTTTTTCCAATCTTCAGACTTAGCCGCGACTCCGCCGATAACGTTTAGGAAGAAATCTGTGGCTTCAAATCCTACGGAACGTCAACAATGTGCTCTCATTGGGTGGCTTTCCGTAGTGTTTAGAATCCTAGAATTGCATTCACCAGAAAATTAGAAATGACCGACCGTCCCGTTTGTCCCGCCCGTACCGACCGACCCTAATTTGACTATTTGGAACACCTCGGAATTCCTCCAACATCTCGTAATTTATTTTTCAGGATTTGGGCTGTCCAATCCGCTGATGAGCGGGCAGCACAACCTCGCGAATGATATATCCTTGAGGCCTGTTGCTTACGAGGCAAACGTGATCATGATCTCTGGCATCACGTTAGGGATACCTGTGAGACGATCAGCAGCACAGTTCGGTGTGATCAAGGTTTATCGATCAGGATAGACTCCAGAGAGAACGGGCAGACGGGACGAAGAACTTTCGAACTTTCAGGTTCCTTCGCATATTTGATTCAAACCTTAAAGGTCGGAGTGTCGTCTCGCGCCTCGTCGCAATCTAGAAATGCTTTTCGAACCGTAGACCAATTGTATCTAGATTCTAATGTGCAGTATTGAGGTGTCAAAAGGCATGTGAACGACGGTTAGAACATGTGTTGAACACCATTTCAACGAATCTGGAAGAGCGGCTCACCTCACCTTCTATATATCAATTTGGAACTGGGTGTTTTTGACATATGGATTTGTAAAACACTGATGTTTGACGGCGGCATGTCGGTACGAGGATAGGTTTAGATTTAGAATGGCGTTACAACAGCTGCGGAAAGTCGTCCATTGCTACAGTTGCTGTACTGGTGGGAACCAAGCTGACTCGACAAGAATACATCCATAGGTAAGTCAACCACGACGACTATGATACCTATGCGATGCGCAGCCCATCCAAATCCACAGATGAATATTCTGAGTGGCACAAACACAGAAGGTAAGGTTGGAAATTGAAAATTTCTCGAGGGGACTTTCGCGCACTGGACGCCAGTTGTCCGTTTATGGTATGTTGCCAACATAAAGAGCGGTACCGCTGTCCCTGTGGCGAGCGCTAGTGTCAGGTTCAAAGATTTGGCGCATCATAAAGTGTCAAAGCCTGTGCCTATAAAAAAGCAAGGATTCGAAAGTATACGAGGGATCCGTGATGTGCAAGAGCGGTAGTATCGAATGGATGCAGATATCGCACAGTAAGATTATGTCAGCGGATATCGCTGGTGTGAGTGGTCCTAAAAAGGCGATATGTGGGATAGTACTAGCTTGTTTAGGGAGGGAACCCCCTTACAGATCTAAAGTTTATTGGTGGGCAGAACCTTTGTTGAATTTCAAACGGTAACAAAATGATACCCGGCATCACGGCACACCCTTCCTAAAATGTGAAATTATATTATTTTTTGCCTACATCCAGTCCATCGATAACGTTAATGATGAATCACGGTCAACGTAGCACTGCCACAGATTTAAGTCTTCTACCCGTGGGTACCCAATTTTTGCAGAACCTCGTACCTGTACCCGTACGAGTGAATCAAACACAGGTACACGTGACCGACCCACGATTCACCACGGATGCTGCCCGGGCGGATGGCCGGGCAGACATCACCCGTGCCACACCTTATCTGCAAGGAACGACTGCGGCGTGGTCTTCCTTCTCTTTTGGTATGACTCGAGCAGACTAGATAAGTTCCTCATTCAAGTTGCTCTCGAATTCCGATTTCCAAACTCGAACAACGGACTACTATGCCTGCAGGGTACTTACCTCTCCCTCAGACGAGCCCTCAAGGTATAAATCAGATTTATCATCCAAAAAAATGTATTTCTGCTCACAATATTCCATAAAATAGACGACGACAACCACTCATCCCACGGTGACGACGCGTCCGCCTGCGGGACTGCCGTGGACAGTGAACTCCGTTCAGTCGCTGCCGAGCAGGACGCACATGCTGGCGTCAAGAAAGTCGAGGCCGCCCAGCGTGTATATGGGCGTTACTCCCGTTGGTGTCTCTTCGTCGGGTGCGTCTTGTCACCGCCGTGGAAACGACTTTCAAGTTGCACCTCGTACAGCACGAGTATCGTCGACTAATACTAATAAACTGCCATTGATAGCATTGGACTTGCGTCATATATATACTCCCTTGATGCATCGACAACTTACGCATACCTTACATTCGCTACTTCATATTTTGGCGAGCATAGCCTTATCAGTTCAATCACTGTCGTACAGTCCCTCATTAGTAATTTCCACTTATCGTCGCCCCAACGGTGGTTATTTACTAGACATTTACAGTTGCTGTTGGTAAACCCGTGATCGCTAAAATCGCGGATGTCTCTTCCCGAGGCACCGCCTATGTCGGCGTTTGTGAGTGCGGACTGTTTTTTCAAGCGCTTGTTTGACGCTGAGCTTCTAGTGATTTTTTACGTTCTCGGTATGTTGTTTGCATGGAACTCACCGCAATTGATATCATAGTCTGCTACTGCTAGGCTATATCGTGATAGCTTCTGCCCCCAATGTCACTAGGATAATTGGGGGCATTGTACTGTACGCTGTGTACGTATCAATTCTTGTGTTCTTGTTCTATTTTTACTCATCTTTCTAGTGGATACACGTGAGCAAGGGCCGATGATACCACTATTCCGGGGATTAATCTACTTGGCCCAGCGGATTGCAACTACTCACACAGATTATCATTGCTGACATCACCACGCTCGCATGGCGTGGGCTTGTTGTCTCCCTTGTCTCTGCACCATTCCTTGTCAATGCATTTATTGGCTCAAACATATCCACTGCAGTCATCCATTCTATCGGCTGGCGATGGGGTTGTAAGTCTTGGACATTATTTCACTTTGTCATCGTCTCAATTGTATGATGTGATGCATAGATGGCATGTTTGCCATCCTTGTCCCTATTTCCCTTGCGCCCCTCATTATCACTCTTCTGTGGGCGGAACGTAAGGCCAAAATGCTTGCTCTTCTCGACTCCCCCAAACCACGCAGTCGCAGAGGCTCAAGTCAACCAAACCTCCCACGTGGATCCATGATAGTTAGCTTCCTTCGCTCCGCTGAACAGCTTGACCTAGTCGGACTCACCCTCCTCGGGTGCGCGGTTTCACTGACCTTACTTCCATTGACAATGAGTCGGACTGTGAACGGAAGCTGGAAGAATGGTCCGTGGTCAACTTTTTTTTTCGGTAAGAGATTGACCAGTGTGCACGAAATCCAGGCTCGACCATTGCAATGTTTGTCATGGGAGTTGCACTCCTTGTCGTGTTCGCAGTCTGGGATCTACGTTATGCTAGTAGACCCGTGATCGCTCCGCGGTTTATCAGGAATAGAAGCGTTGTCTGTGCAGCGTTCATCGGCTTTTTCGACTTCGTAAGTATTCAGAGGCGAAGTCATTTATTGGTGAAACTGATTGTTCGATGTCATAGATGTCATACTTCCTCACCTATACGTATCTGTATTCGTTCGTCCTAGTAGTAAAACCTTGGTACATTTCACATTCTACTTGTGAGAGTACGCGTTAACCTATCATCTCAAGGTCACTCGTGAACGCGACGTACTTCATTCAAGTGCAATCCGTTGCACTGACATTCTTTGGCATTCTTGCGGGTCTCAGCATGCGTTTTCTCCATCGGTACAAGGTATATCACTCAACCATTCAATACCACAGTCCAGCTCAACCTTGCGCGGTAGTATGTACTCATCATCGGACTCGTAGTTCGTCTAGCGTAAGTCTTTAACCATTCCAACCAAAATCCCCGACCTACGCATTCATATCAGGGGTGTGGCAATGATGATCCATTCGCGCGGTGGCAACGCCTCGGATGCTGAGCTTGTATGGACCCAGATCCTTCAAGGTTTCGGCGGAGGTTTTGCCGCTGTTTCTTCACAAGTAGGGGCACAAGCATCCGTGCATCACGCAGATGTGGCGATCATCACCGCGGTTGTGCTCTTATTGACTGAAATCGGCGGTGCTGTTGGGAACGCATGTGGTATGTCCACTCTCCCATACATATCTAGGGTCGTTGATTGAATGGGAATGGGACTATAGCCGGCGCGATTTGGTCGAACACGATGCCAGATAACCTGGAGAAGTATCTGCCATGGTTGACAGATGAGAAGCGTGCAGAGCTGTTCGGGAGTATAACATTAGCAGCGTCCTATCCGCTTGGTGACCCTGTGCGCGAGGGCGTCATCAACGGTGCGTTCGAAATAGCTGTGTCATGCACATATGCTCACTGATTATGTTTCAGCGTATGACGACACGATGAAGATCATGGTGACCTTAGCCACTGTACTGAGCGTGATACCCATTTTGCTTGCCTTTGCAATGCCGAACTGGTACCTAGGAGACGGGCAAAATGCAATTGATGCTGCTGATCTTACTGGGAGATCAGTGCTCGAAGATGACAGTGAGGATGAGGATGAACCGTAGTCTTGGTCTTGTTGAACAAGACATCCTACTCTGTACCTTTCTTTTAATCCCGTTTATTGTCATTGTAGGCTTGCCTAATGTTGACAGTACGTATTGTATTATGCGGCGTTGCTATGTTCTTATCATATATCGTGACAAGCCTGTTCCCTAGAAAACGAGACTGCTTAACAGATCCAGAATGCTTTAGCTACGCCATTAAATAGATGATACGAGTATAAGGCATATGATTATACAAATCGGTTACCATAGAGTGATCGTGTTTGAAATTTGAACTCCGGCATCGTCGTGATCAAGGAAAAGAGAAACATAGGAATACTCATCAACACCTCACTCCAAAATCCAAGAAGAGGTATTCAAGAGGAAGAGGTGGTAGGGTCGGGCACAATCGAGAAGCTGTGCATGCGAGACTCAGTGTAATCGGTAATCGAAGGGCAAACTTCAACTTACGCTTCGCTCCTCCATTCCTTCCCCTCCTTCGCCTTCTCCTCGCGTTCGGTAGTTCGATTGACCCATCCGCCTGGATGTCCTCCTTGAATCATTGAAGCGCGCCGATTATGGACAACCTTGAAATGAGACTTGCTCTCCGATGTCTTGATCGATGTAGATTCGTCCTTTTTGTGTTTGAACAGCTGACACCATGGTTAGCGGGATAATTCGGAAGATCGGTCAATGCCCACATCTTGTAACACCTGACGGCGACTCAATTCCTCCTTTGTCTTTGTTTCCTCCATGCGATCCCTCACGGTGACGAGCTGTCCGTCAAGATATTCCAGACCAGTCCTGATTGCCTGTGCAACCGCCTTCTGGATATGCTTCTTTACTACAGTTGTCGCAAGAGGTTTGACAGTCTTGTAGAGTATATCGTGCTTCGAATCGCGAATGCTAAACTTCAGCGAATCTACCTTGACGTGCACATCCTTGACTTTGAAAACGGAGCTGCGATCTCTGTCGGCAGAAACGAGATAGATAGTGACTGTCATGCCTTGTCCACCGAGGACAACGTCTGCTATGCCAGAGTCCCTCATTTTTGGGAACCCGGTCTTCTTGCGGAAATAGAGGGCGACGTCTCGCATATCCGCCTGGATCTGTGCGAGTGTGATTGTGAACTCGTGATGCCGTTGATCTTGAATGGCGTCATACGGGCTAAACTTAAAAAAGTTATATGCCTCCATAGATATAACGTTGGGGAACAGGTTGCGTCCTTGAAGCGTCAGGTTCTCAACGACAAGGTCGAGCGTATCGTCGGTGTATTCGACGCGCGGAATGGGCAAATATCCAACCTCGGAGTGCCAACCTCATTAGCCTCTTGCCCCAGCAACTGGACAATGACGTACCTGTTTCACCATCGTAGGCAAAATGACATTTCTGATATCGCTCCAGAGATCGGTCTTAAACTTCAAGCTACCTTCACTATCAAATAGTAGGTCATGCGTCAACCGAGCCCAGTCTTCGCCAAAGCGTTTGTTTAAGGGATCTTCTCCCATCGCCGAGAACCATTTGCCAATGGCATCGAAGAGGCTGTCGAAATGCTCTTTATACTTTTGGTCCCAGAAATGACGACCTGACTCGAGAATGTTGTTACCCTCGCGATTGCAATCATCTTCCAGCACAAAGCCCGCCTCAAGTAAAACCTACATCGCCGTGAGTATGTTATATCGTGTCCATAAAAGGCACTTACCTTGCGAATATACGTATTCAAACGATGAAACCAGTTCCTAAACTCGTCGTCGCGACGAGCATCATCGATGAGAGCATTGGAAGCGTCAAAGATATCATTCATGCTGCGACTGTTGGCGAAGCGCTCGAGCAGTGTACGAAGCTCAGACATGGCACTATTAAGTGCTCTATCCTTCGCGAGGATTAGGTAGAGTCGAAACATTTACACCAATACAAACACACCTGGGTGATGACACTGCCGCGTTCTTTGCCGTGACCAGCAGCAGTTTGCCCGTAGGATGCATATCGCTCGACTTCGTCGAGGAGCCATCTGATGGCATCTTGGTAATCGTCATGCTTTTGGCACTCAATTATAACCTTCTTGCCACGATAAATGAATTGATCACGGCGCTCCACAGGGAAGTATTCCTCGGCCAGGAACTTGCGTCCTCGCTCGATGTGCTCGGAGGCTCGATCTCGCTGTTGCTGGGGGATGCGTTCGGATATACCACCCTGTAACAAAAATATCAGAAATGGCGACTCAAATAAGGAAAATATCAGCATACTGCATAATTGCGAATGCGTTCCTTAAGCCCCCGTTTTTTCCCCTCAGTTTCTGAAGATGAAGTGTCAGGTCCAACGCCTTCCACGCTCCTTGAGAAGTGAATAAGCACACGACCTGGATCAGACAGAAAGAACTACACACCCCTGCTGACGAGTCTGGTCTGCTTTCTCTTGAACAGTACCCTGAGCCTGAGATGCTTTGTCTTTCACATTATCCTTGACGTCATCAACAGCAGCACGGCCCTCGCCAACTATTTGCTTCACAGATTTCTGCGAGCCATCTCCTGTGGTTACCGTGGCATCATCAGTGTGGGGGTGATGCTCAACGACCGTGTCCGTTCCGGGAACTTTCGCGTTCAGAACTGGTGTTTCACCAGGGCCAGCTTTGCGCCCATCCTTGGTAACGAACTCATCTTGGGGAGCAGCCTCGTCGACACGGGAAAGCTCTTCCTCGCCGGGACGCAAGCTCTCAGCGACTTTGGATGCTCCTTTAGCAAGTATGTCTCGTCCAATGACCGAGAAGTCGGAAAGTAACTTGCGAACTTCGGAATTGGTGAGAATAAGGGAAAGAATAGTGCGGAGATGGCGAACGGCTAGCAAAACATTGCATTGAGTACTTTGCAATAGGATAATGAGCGGATACGCACCAGTGTGGCGGTCTTCGTCAAATTTGGCACGATCGACGGGTGCGACTGCGTCTGGGTCCATCTTTACGCTGTCAAGAGAAATATCGCGAGTATTCCAGATAAAATTCTGGAAAAGTTCGTCGGCATTTTTCTCAGTGACTATGAGACGTGCAGTTTCGATGATTTCACGAGCATCTTGAACAAGTTTTCGCCCGTCTGGAGACAGCTTGTTTTCATCCACCGGTGATGTCTTCAGCAAATACTGCAGCGTCTCGTCTATTTGATGATTGTCTGGCATACGCCCTCGGCGGAATGCTTCAATCACGCCGTAGAAGTTGATCTGGTCCACGAAGCGATTGAGCAAATGTTGTTACAACTATTTCAATAAAAGGCTCACCTTTCTGGAGACATCAGCCTCCTCGGCAGCCTTGTCCGTTGGTGCGACAACAGAGCCTGCCTTGGGGTGTTCTGAAATGTCTTTTGTTGCTGGCGGGAGAGACATGGTAAGGTGGAGAAGGTTTGTTCTGTTCCCGCTTGTGTTTTCAACTGGCTTTTGAATGACCGCAATGCGACGTCAGACCAACTAATGACATCACTTTTCCCCAACAGAATTGCCTATTTTGGACTCCGATATACCTTTTTAAGGACGCCGCAATGCGCTGCGGAGGTATCTCCATTATCTCTTCTCCCCTTGAGGCTATCGTTTTATTTCAAGGTATTACTTTTCGGAGGAGCGTTTGCTGTATCGATAGAATTGTTTAGGTAAATTCACCATGAATATAAAAACACCAAAGCGCACAGCCTAAATCGTGCGAGAAGGCACAAAAACACGGAAGGGTGGGGATCATAGCAACTTGGCTGTATAATATTAGCATCACTATTTAAAAACATCGAATACAACGTGCTGGATCCAAAATTTGGCGGGAATGTGCAAAAGCAGCGCTAGTAGTATAGAACAAGGTAGTGGTAGTGCGAGCGTTGGATGGACGGAGGTGGCAGCAGGTGAACACAGCAGAGCATTCTGCAGTCAGGTGGCAGTGCAGGGTGCTGACAAAGATGCCGGCGATGAGAATTGTGAACTTGGCAAAACTCCCGAGTTCTGCCAACAACATTGCCGCAACGTGGCGCAGCATCAACAGGACAGCAGGACGGTTCTTCTCCTCTGTTAAGAGCAGTGCTGGCCAGTCCAATGGTTACCTGACTCTTTATGAAGATCGTTTTGCCATAGCTCAAACACATTTCAATTCGAAAGCACCAATCACGACTTCCGCTCACACCCGGGCCTGCTACATCTTTATTGGCACAATCTTTTTCCAAGTAGTCTACGCGCCCAGTTGCACCGAGATACACTTTTCTGACGGGGAATATTCGCCGTTACGAAGTCCGAGGTACCGTCACCATTTTCCACACTGGCGACAAATATTAGACAGGGCTATGCTAGCGGTAGCCCTTTCCCATTTGCTTATCCACCCTTCATATCTCCTGGAACCAGCTCCCCTTCTTACTTCTATCTGAGACAAAGCAACGGACAAGTGGCCAGCAGCGATTTACAGAATCTCGTCGCCCAGACTAGTACGTAGGACCCAGATACAGCAGGTGAATGGTGGACTGGACGGATCCCGGTGTCATCTCGAAATACAGTAGTATTTTAGAACAAACTAATTTCATATGCCTTGGTTTGTACATGTGGGTATTCTTACTTTTCATGTTCAAGAGCTCCTACTCGTGACAATGACCTGTAGGTGGGAGTACGCAAGATCATGGCAAGTTGAACTTGCTTTGATTTGCAGACGCATACAGCCTCGATGGCCTCTGGTGAGTAGCAGCTTGCATGCTTGTGCATTGTCACAGAAGTGCTAATCTTGTCAGCTGCCGTACATCACTGGTCGTATTCTTCTTCTGACGTCCATAATTATGGTGTGCGTATCTTATTAATTAACTATCGCAACAGAGTCTCACGAACATTAGTTGCTGACTCAGTTCCCCGACCTCCCAGAACGCGGATTGTCACAGTGAATCCTTCGTTAAATTTTAATCAGCTAAACGCGTGCTCAGGTTCATCATGACAGGCGCTTTTTTAGCATTTGCTGTGAGTGTGCTACAACGTATCGCCGATTCATCGTCTCAATTGGTATCACAGTTTGCAGAAAATGCATCCATCGGTTGTTCTTATTTAAACCTAATGTTACGGCCGTAAGTTTCAGTGGCAATTTCGATCGTCGAAGTCCTTCCTCAACATGCACAGATTCGTAATCTGGAGGGGGTTCAAATGTATCCGTATATTTCTGGTATTAGCCACGATTGGCCACTGGATTATCCTGTTACGGGGTCAGTTATCCGAAGCAATACTATAATTTGATCCTCAATATCGCCATCGCAGTAATACTTGCCTTCCCCGTCGTGAAAGTGAACGGTAGCTGTGACCTCATGGTTATTGACCATACTGATGTGACCACTATATTTGTCTACAGTACGTCCCAGAGACAGTGTTCCATTCTATCCCTGACGCCTTGCACAGCGATGGGTTACGATATACTGGCGTTTGCTTTGACTATAATCGGCCTTCGAAATACGCCATAGTCTAGTGCAACATGGACAATATTGCGCAATCAGGGGATAATATATGTCTTGATCGCCTGCTTGGCAAATATCATACCATCGGTGCGTGCTACTGAAGAGAACCCAAGATCCATCTGATTCCGTATCTCCTGCAAAGGTCGTGGCCTCGTTGAATCTGAATCGTAAGTGGCCTTCTGCCATTTTAATATCGTTTTGAAATTTATAGCACACTAGCTGCCATGAACGTTGTATTTGCGACACCGGGTAAGCTGTTGCAGAAACCCTCCAATGACTATCTGATTATTGTTATGCCAGCATGTGTTGTCAGGTCTGTATCTACATATGTCATGACGCTCGCCATTCATTCAGCTACTTTACAGCACTATCGCATCGAGTCGAATAGTTGTTGCTTTCCTGGACGTACAGTCGAAGTACGAGTAACAAATCGATTTTTCAATCATATTCTCAACATTTCCAGCGCCCCCATGGAAGAGACAAATAATCGAGGTGTGCTACTTACCACCGTGCTAACACTGCCCACGTGAGTTCTTGCCTTGAATGTTATCTTCATTGATTGATGGACATGACACAGTGTGTCTGTTATGAATACCCAAAACTTTATATGATTTTTTGGGATAACATCGATCTGTCAGTTTCTGATCACAAACTTGGGGAAGGGCATTTGAGATTCCTTGATAAAGATACAGTGTGGTTTAAGGATATCCGGCTTCAAACGAAGACGAAGACGAAGACGTCCACGTGACTTACTGATGCGAAAAGCGTTACTCTTGCATCCGAGACACGCGGATGCATCCATTTCCATTTTACGATCTAACCTTGTACTCACACGCCACGATCCCCTTACCTTGACCGCTCATTTTCACCTTCACCACATGCTCTTATGCTCATTCTGGCTTAGTGGGCCGTCCGAAAACGTATATGTATAGCCCATGTACACCCATATCGATAGCGGAATCTCATACAGTGAATTCCCCGGTCAAAAGACTCAACGTCCTAACTTGAACGCTTCAACGAAAGTCTCTGTCTCTAACACTCTCCCTACTCGTCTTTACGACGATCTATATCCACGTCTCGTATCTATATCGCTTCGTTCACATTTCCTTCACTACCAGCCTTACATTTTGGAGCCCACCGCGAGGGATTTATTTTCGGACGATCCCTTGCACACCGAGTCTGATCCGTAAGGATTTTACGCCCTGACCACCCTCGGTCCCTTTTTCCCGTCACCGTCACCCCAATTCTTGTTCGGAATCTGTCAATAACTCTATAGGACTCTCATTATTCTGTCAAAACCATACCCATTCATACGCCACTCACTCAATTCCCCGTACTCTCTTTCTCTTTCCTACCCTGTGAGGTGCAACACCACTTCCTTCTGCTTCCGTTTTCACATCATCGTTCAGCCTAGCCATACCCGAGGACCCTTACCGTTTCGCGAGTATAGGTATCTCATATACAGTCCTTATCGACTGGCAGAACCTCATACGTCGATTTCCCGTCCCAACGCTCCTACGAAACTCATCGTCTCTAAAAGGTCTCGTCTTGTTATTATCGCGTTATCCAACTATACTTCCCGCAACTACGTCGTTTCGTTCACTTTCCCCTTTGAACTTTTACTAAGTCAGCCTTACACTCTACTACTTCTTTCTTCCTCCAATACCCCAGCCCGATTTCCATAGGCCTTCACCAGCACCGTCCCAAACTTCCAACGAGACTGCGAATTCATCTTCCCTTCCCACCGTTCAAATCACTCCTTCGAATTCTTCGGTCGCGGCGCCCACCTCGTAATCAACAATTCCCTCTTCCGCACCGTCTCATTCCCTTCCGTCCCATCCCACACTTCAGACTCATATTCCGACTTCGTCGACAACTACGCCAGCTATGTCGAACACGAACAAAGGGATATCGGCGAACCAGGGAACACGCTACACGATCCGCGACTTAGAGCGTGTTGTCATTAACACGGCTGACCCTGATGTACCTACGGAGACTGAACTCTTGCAGTACTACCGGCAGTTTCGTTCAATTGCATTCTGGCTCGTCGCGAATAATAAGATATCAACACGCGAGCGGGACCGCTGCTTCTGGAAAGGCCTCCCTCTGTTAGCATGACACGAAATCGACCGACGCCTCCAGATCAAAGAAGCCAACTACTCGCGTGAGGAGGCTACGGACTATGAAAAGGTGCTGGAAGCTGGATGTTTTGTGTTTTCGGATGATGCCTATGATCTAGATCTCCACTACCCCATCACTACACGTCTCCGTTCTATCCGTGAAGAACGCTCGACCAACGCCTCCCGAACCAAACCCTATCGTCCTCCACCAGACTCAGACGAGGAAGACGAAGTTCGACGGCCACGAGATGTATAACGTGAGGTTCAGACGAAGAAAGTAGCTTTTTCACCGGTTGTTCAGACCCCCATTAAATCCGTGATGGACGAAGTAGAAGACCTAGCAAGGAAGATGCATGGGTTGGATATAGGTGATGTCGCGTATTCTGGATGCTATATACGCCTGGTATACCTCGCACCAGCCACAGCTCAGGGCTGGGCACCCCCTAAATCACGTCAGCTCGTCATTACCGCCCCATCTCAGGCCCCATTGTCGTATCTTCCTCTCCCTCCCCTTCCTCCTTCATCTAACCATCGATCGAATCCCACGTGCTTCTTTTGCGGCGGTTCTCACGTTATGCGCACTTGCTCGACTGCGGTGGAATATCTTCGGGCTGGACGAATCGTCCGGGACAGGCAGTATTTCGTATATCCAGACCAATCATGCATACGACGAATTGGTATTGAGACGCTAAAACAGGCTATTGACGCCAGATACGCTACTGCGGTGTCCTCGTCCAACTCTATCCCTGTAGACAACTCTCGGCATAATTCTGCACCACTGTCGTCCTCCAACATCCCTTCTACTACTTTGATTTCAGGATCATATTTCGAAGTCCTGTCCATCACCCGTTCCAAGTCGAAAGCTGCCAATTCGGAGCAAGCGAGTATGACTCTCTTGCCTGAAACCCATCCCGAATCTAAGAAAGCTCCACCTTCCTTCGCCTCCGAGTCCAAAGTTGCCAACCACGATCGCACCAAACGCACCTTCCATAACGTCCTCGACCTGATCATTCCGAATGTGACTGTATCGGACCTCCTTGCGGTCAGTCCCGAGCTGCGAAAAGAGGTTGTGGAGCACTGTAGGACATAGCGAGTACCCACCCCCGCAGCAGCTCTTTCTACAGATATTGTTGCGACGCCTGCCAAAAACGAAACGCCTGTTCAGTTAAACCTCCTCGACGGAGGATCCGAAATAGTGATTATACGGGAAGACATTTGGAGGAAGATTCAGGCTCCCATAAATATTACTATCCATGAACGCAGACTGCAAATGGCGGATCGCAAGAAATGGTAGGATACCTAGAAATGTTGGAGATCGACGTTGCAGGAGTAAAGACTGCGTACGTCGTGCCTGACGCACCTGTATATTAAAAAATGACGTAGTGCCCTGGCCGAGTACACTGCCATTTGACACAAGTAACTGGCTATCTCGTTCAGTACTGAGTCTTCTATTCACACTGCACAACATCTACTCACCTACATTAATGAATTCTCATGCAGTGCACACTAAGTGAACCTGGAAAATATGACCATCACACTCTACTGCCATCGGTGAGCTCTCACTACAGCCAAAGCTGCGCGAGCCTCCATTTCGTTATTGACATGTCACTGCAGTGTTCAGCAAAGTTATCGCAGAATACATAGATCCAATCCTCAAACCTACGCCACTTGAATATCGCAATACAAGAACTTGCAGGTCCAAGGTCTCGCAATCCCCCACCTTACGACTCGCCGTAGGCCAGTATAAAGAACCTGTAAATCATGTCTTTGGTGCATCTTGACTTGATGCCTGTGCTTTCCAAGGTTTGAAAGGATGATGACGACAAGACCGAGCGGGTGCATGTCAAAGAGTAATCTTACTCGACGGCGTGCGCATTAGGTCTGCTGACGATCAAGACTCGCACAATGGATTATACATGGGATCCACTACTATTTATTTATTTTGATTCCAACTTCTGTCCTTTGCAAAGATGTACTCTATGTAGGACAATACAATCTAGTCTAAAGGACTGTGTCCCTGTTGCATCCCTGGGTGCATGAATGCCCTGCTGTGAGGCATACCCCCAGCAGTCTGCCATTCCTGCTGGCTGTTTTAGACATGCCACCCATGTTGACAAGATGTCATTATATATGCGTGCATTTGTGAGTAGGTCACAACATTGTTGGATGTGTACTTGGTTGCATATATGATAGTGAGCAGGTACAGGAGTCAGTAGGTGTGTAAACAAGATTTCATATAGATGGTTAGATGAACATTGAATATATCTAACAATATATATGAAATCTTGTTTATAGAGTGTGATGATCATATTGCACATTTATGTGGTGCAGGATTGCAACAAGAATGGACACGGGAAACTAATTGGTGAATGAGAAAATCTGAAACCGGTTGGGCCGGGGAGTTGGCCGAGAAACTGAGAGGAAGTGAGGAGTAAAGCGCTGGAAGCAGAGCCGGCACCCTTGAAAATTAGAATTTGGATAAAACGTGTCTCGAAAGGTGGGGGCTGCTCTATCAGGAGCGGATTTGAGACACGAGAAGGGAGAAATTTAGTTGCGTCTGGTGTACAGGTAGATCTTGGGAATCGACGAGATGAGGAGATGATATGGCAGTAAGCTATGTGCCTTCAAATAAGTTACATGATGATGTGTTGGAGAAACTGCTCGACAGTGATATTTATGCGGCAATCTATGTAGGATAGATAGCTTTCAGCCAAATTCGAGGACCGGGAAGTATCAGGTGAACTATCGCCATTGGATGGGAGGGGATATATTCCGGAAGCTGTGGAGACATGAGTCGGACGCATGTACACAGTGCTGTGGAGGAAGGCGGTTATGACTGGCAGGGGTCATTCTTGCTGGAACGGAGGCGAACCACCTCGTGTCTTGGGCGTCTATGTAAATGAGTTGGGTTAGTGTGGTGAAGTAGCATAAAAACGCACAATGCACGCACCTCTGCAGCTTAGAGAAGACACCTACAACCCCTCGATCGTGCCCAACACGATCAACCTCCAGAAATGTCACAGCTCATTCAAAGCACCACACCCCTTCGAACTTTTGAAGATCACGAGGGGACCGTAAGAGCAGTTGCAGTTTTCCCCGATAAGCGACGAATGATTACAGGCTCGGACGACAAGACACTTCGGCTTTGGGACTTGAAGACAGGCGTTGTGTTGAAGAAGATGGAAGGGCATTGCAGTATGGTGCGGGCATTGGTGGTTTCACGAGATGGTCAAATAATAGCAAGCGGTGACGAAAATGGAGAAATCATTCCCTGGCACGGTGAAACTGGTGAAACTCTCACCCAACCCATCAAAACCTCCAGTGGAATCCAGTCAGTGGATTTTTCTCCGGATGGTACGGTGCTGGCTACCGGTGGACGGGACAAGACGGTGAAGTTTTGGTGTACTAAAACGTGGCAGACGCAAGGAGAACCAATCGAGTGTGGTTCTGTGATCTCATGCGTTCGGTATTCGCCTTCTGGCGAACTTCTTGCCATTGCAACACACAGCAATATCCAAATCTATAATCCAGCCACCAGGGAGCGTGTCGCATCTTTCAAGGGTCACGTATTCTCCAACTGGTCACTCGCGTGGACACCCAATGGTACACGCCTTCTTTCAGGAGGTGATGATCCTAACATACGAGAGTGGGATACAACAACCTGGCAGCAGGTCGGTGACCCCTGGAAAGGCCACACTAGCTATATCGACGCCATTGCCATTCATCCTGCTGGCACCCTTGTTGCTTCCGCATCTAGTAGGGACAGGCGTATCCGTCTCTGGCGGCTCTCAGATCAACGAAACATCGACAGCTTCACGCACTCATCCTTGCCGCAATCTGTCACTTTCTCTGCGGATGGCAAGCACATCCTCATCGGAGGCGAAGATAATAATACCTCAGAGTGGGCAGCACCCAATTCAAAGGCGAGTTTCCATCCTTGACTCTCGTAACGCAATTCGAGCATCTTTCGTGCAGATCCTGGCTATCACGACAGCCCGCGATGCATGCATCGCTGGGGACTTGTCTATCGCCGAAGAGTTACTCACCCAAAGGATCCACACCGACGCAAACGACTATACTTCACATGCCCATCGCTCATTCGTCATGGCCCGAAAACACGCCTGGGACCGAGCACTTGATGATGCAATCATGGTGAGTTATACCGACCCTACTATGGCCCTTCTACTAAAGGCTTACTTTCATTCATGACATAGTCCATCAGAATTCGGCCCTCATTGACAGGCTACATCTCCAAAGGCATCGCCCTCTGCGGGAAAGGCCAAGTCCGGGACGCGAGGGCAGCATTCGACGTCGCATCCATGTTCACCAACCAAAATTTAGAGGCCAACCATTTTCTTCTCTTGATCAAGGTACATTAAATCGGACTCACATATTCTCTGCTTCATTGCGTGTTTCAGGTCATTGCCCTCTTCAGCGCAAATCGGCATGAGGAAGCAATGTTACTCATCCAAGAGCTGGCTGCCGCTTGGCCGAATACCGATCCTCTCGCGCGTCGTGTCGTGGAAGTAAGTGTCATGCAGTTACGCTTGGTCGTTAACGCTGACATTTGCAACTCGCGCATTAGACATCTCTACGCGTTCAGCTCGGAATCAAAGCTTCGGATAGCGCACGTCACGACGAAGCTGCTGATCACTTCACTGCTGCTGTTAACTCTACCGCTTTCTCATCGAAATACATTCATGTGATATACGAGGACTTGACCGTGGTGCGTCACGATGATGCATACATAATGCTTTTCATAACTGAGTGCTTTGTCCAGCTCTTCGGCTGGGATCTCGAGTCTTTGTGTCTCACTACACACCAGAAACGATGCCAGGCATTCCTTTCGGCAGGTAAGCCCGACAAAGCCCTCGAAGCACACAAATACATGATGGACGCCATCGACGAATCTGCGAAGCCTAGCTGTCTTGATTGGTCCGACGGCAAATTTTCAGTGACGTCGCCCGAAGCTACCATACTCACCCGCATTTCACTCAGAATTCAAGGAACAATGTAGTGCATTCGCTGAGCAGCATGACCGTATTCTTGGCGTATGCACTCCCTTCTCCAACTGTCTCACTACTGATCGTTATGCAGGCAGAGATCCCGGGGCAAGAGCAAGATGGCTATGATGCAGAACCTAATTTTTTCCACGAAATGCATCGAGTGCGTGCAACAGCGTATCTTCCTCTCTTTCTCACATCGTTCATTACAGCATTCTCAAATCCCCCGACCACAACCTCAACAACGCTCTGGGCTTCTCAAAAGAGTGAGGCTCGCTATGACGAGCAGCCCTCATCCTCACTCCCTCCACCTCCACCTGTGCCACCTACCCCACCACCGGTCGCTGCGGCGACCACCTTCAGAACCCACCTACGGCATCTGTTCACCCGACCACCTCATCATACAACGCCACCCGTCGCCGATGTTCCATTCGCAAAGGGTAAAGAGGTGCGACGGGTTGATTTTTGTAAATGTGTCTTGTGTCTGATGCGTAACCTGCAGCGTAATGCTGCTGCGGATGCTCCTGGCAAAGACCCGGACATCGTACTTTATGAAAATCAAGATCTCGATACTACTCAGCCAGACCCCAATGCACAACAGCAACAATCAGTAGTAGTGCAGATAGACACTGGGGAACATGGACGCGGATGGTCATGTTGCTGCTGCTAGAGTAATTGGTGGATGTCCTCGGATATTACAGTTTTATCGTTGATCTTGTTATGATATCTACATTGCATTGAAGTAGTACATTCTTTGCGAGTCGCTTGGATGCAGTTTGTTGGAAGAGTCAAACTTGACATTGCGTCTACTATCATGCTGCAAATATGCGGTGTCTACGACTTTGACGAGTCTTACTCTGAGCTGCAGTTCTCAAACATGTATGACACTAGGAGGAGGCCTAAGATGAATGCTTACATGAGGTGCCCGCAGGGCATTGTATGGTGCAGGAACTCGTCTCAACACCAAGTTCAGACTGCCAAAGTGGCTGAGATTAAGGTTTTTGCTTACGGTAAGCAAAGTGCCTCTTGACTAACAGTATCATAAGTGCCGTAATGCGTATCAGAATATCTCTGGCCAAGCCGAGAATAAATTGATACACCCTATTGTTCGGCCGGGAGTGACCCTTCTATGTCAGAAGGACTGTTGGCCTCCCTGAAGGTCTGGCGGCCACTGGAAGTCTCACGATATTATCTTTTTCCTTGTCCCTGCTCTGTTCTGAGACATCTAGTTCACACACTGTCACGAGCAACTTCCCCTACTAGACTAGTCCTCACAATTTGTGTTCTCACTGGCGTACTAGGTTCTCATGTGTATCACAACTTGCGCCCACCAACGGACCCGGTCGCCGGACTCTCCATCGTTTTGCCATAGTTTAAACACGTCTCAATTCAGAAACACCAATCACGTCTTCTGCCCACACCTGCTGCATCTTACTGGCACAATCTTTTTCCAAGTAGTCTACGCGCCCGGTTGCACCGTCTTAGATACTTTTCTGACTGGGAATATTCGCCATTACGAAGTCCGAGGTACCGTCACCATTCTCCACACTGCCGAGGTTGCCCCATAGATATCAGACAGGGTTATGCTAGCGGTAGCCCTTTCCCTTTTGCTTATTCTCCCTTCATATCTTCTGGAACCAGCTACCCTTCTCGTTTCTCGCCGAGATAAAGCAACGGACAAGTGGCCAGCGGCGACTTACAGTACCTCATTTCCCAGACTACGTAGGACCCAGACACGGCAGGTGAATGGTGAACTGGACGGATCCCGGTGTCATCTCGAAATGCAGCAGTATTGTAGAACACACTAATTTCATATGCCTTGGTTTGTACATGTGGGTATCCTTACTTTTCATGTTCAAGAGCTTCCTACTCATGACAATGACCTGTAGGTGGGAGTACGCAAGATCATGGCAAGTTGAACTTGCTTTGATTTGCAGACGCATGCAGCCTCGATGGCCTCTGGTGAGTAGCAGCTTGTACTAGTATGCTCGTGCATTGTCACAGAAGTGCCAATCTTGTCAGCTGCCGTACATCTCCGGTCGCATTCTTCTTCTGATGTCCATGGTTATGATGTGCGTATCTTATTAATTAACTATCGCAACAGAGTCTCACGAACATTAGTTGCTGGCTCAGCTCCCCGACTTCCCAGAACGCGGATTGCCACAGTGAATCCTTCGTTAAATTTTAATCAGCTAAACGCATGCTCAGGCTCATCATGGCAGGCGCTTTTTTGGCCTTTGCTGTGAGTGTGTGCTATATGTGTCGCCTATTCATCGTCTCAATCGGTGTCACAGTTTGCAGGAAATGCATCCATTGGTTGTTCTTCCTTGAACTTAATGTTACGGCCGTAAGTTTCAGTAGCAATTTCGATCGTCGAAGTCCTTCCTCAACATGCACAGATTCTTAATCTGGAGAGCATTCAAATGTATCCGTATATTTCTGGTATTAGCCACGGTTGGCCACTGGATCATCCTGCTGCGGGGTCAGTTGTCTGAAGCAATACTATAATTTGATCCTTGACAGCGCCATCACAGTAATGATCTCCTTCTCCGTCATGAAAGTGAACGGTAGCTGTGGCTTCATGGTCGTTGATCATACTGATATGATCGCTATGTTTGTCTACAGTACGTCCCAGAGACGGTGTTCCATTCTATCCCTGACGCCTTGCACAGCGATGGGTTATGATATACTGGCGTTTGCTTTGACTATAATCGGCCTTCGAAATACGCCATCGTCTAATGCAATGTGGAGAACATTGCGCAAACAGGGGATAACATATGTCTTGGTCACCTGCTTGGCAAATATCATACCATCGGTGCGTGCTACTGAAGAGAATTCAAGATCCATCTGATTCCGCGTCTCCTGCAAAGGTTGTGGCTTCGTTGAATCTGAATCGTAGGTGGCCTTCCGCCATGTTGATATCATCTTGAAATTTATGGCACACTAGCTTCCATGAATGTTGTATTTGCGATGCCAGGTAAGTTGTTGCGGAAGCCCTCCAACCACTATCTGATCATTGTTTGTCAGCATCTGCCGTCAGGTTTGGATCTACGTGTTATCGCGCTCGTCGTTTATTCAGCTACTTTACAGTACTATCGCATCGAGTCGAATAGTTGTTGCTTTCCTGGACGTACAGTCGAGGTACGAGCGACAGAATGATTTTTCAACCATATTCTCAACATTTCCAGTACCTCTACGGAAGAGACAAGTAGTCGAGATGTGCCACTTACTACCATGCTGACACTGCCCAGGTGAGTTCTTGCTTTGAATCTTAACTTCATTGAATGATGGACATGGCACATAGTTCATCCTATATGGATGCCCATGACTTTGTATGATGTTTGGGACAAAATCGATCCGTCAGTTTCCGGTGACTAACTTCGGGAAGTGCACTTGAGATTCCTCAACAATATTCAAGTACAGCCGTCACAGAGCTTGCCACACAGACCAGGTTTGGGGATAGTGAGGAAACCGCATCAGTAGTGATATGGACTTCACCTCTTTCTCATGCGCTAGACTCCCTTTTTATTTATTTATATTCAGCGATATTATTGAGATACTGAGTTCGCGAAAGAGTTTTTTGCTTGCTTGGAGACGGCCTTCTCACGAACTACTGACATCTGTGAGCATATCCTCCATCAACAGGATGCGAGTGTGGGTACGGCAAGCAGCTTGCATCTGGAGTACCGCATGGTTCCCCTGTGGCCGTTTAAATGGTATATCATCTCTCCGTGCCGCACAACTCGTGGTGGACTCAGGCTAATAGCCTAGGGTTTATTCGGGTCTCCATGGTCCTTTGCATGGCTTGGTGTACTTAGCTTACTAAGCCTAGTATTATCGACATGATCGCCTGTTTCTGGCTGGCCCCTGCTCCGGTGGCATCCCTGCTTCTATATATACAAATCCCTCCGGAACAACAATGTGATCGGTGATACGTTCTGAGCCGTTCGAGTCCCTGACGCACCCGATCGGCCAGTATCCCAGCACCCAACTTTGAACTTGCCCACGCTTTAAACACCGAGTCGACCAGGGGCCCGAACTTTCAGGAGCGTGGGAAGCGATGTCTCTTTAATGACATAAAGAGTCTTTATCTCAAGACGCGGGACTAACACACGTTCGTCGACGCCAAGTCCCTTATCCCTATTCCACTGCCTCTGACCATGCTTGAAGTTGTGAACAATCTCGGTGACTCAAACCGGTTCTTGAGTTGCCTCGAAATGTTGCCCTGCTATACCTCCGAGTCTTGCCAGTGGAGGTATCGGGCAAAGTCATTCAAAGAATTCGCTATCAAAAAACACCAGTGTATGATCGCCAGCAGAACTAATATTTACTACAACTAAATGCAACATACAATCAAACTACAGTCTACAGCCCACTCAAATACAAATATCGTTAATACCGAATCCAAAAGTACTACAGACTCCAAATCAGATAATAGATCAGCGGAACACTAGCGGCCCATAAATATGCGACAGATAAAAATAAAGGTATCACTGGTATAACTATCATGGAATCACGTCCTGGATACTGTGAATTCTACTTCCCGGGCCATCTCGTTCAGAAGGAATGGAATATCATCTTCGGCTATACCACATTCCTGCAAGACTGTCGGCCAGTTATGTTGCTCGTAGTCTTGGGTTTGCTGGAGGCACTGGATCACCTCACGGCGAACAACGGCGGAAGCCGCGCACAGCCGCAGGGCATTGTCTAGCGGAAAACTGAAATTATGATTATGACTCCGGGTAGACCGTTCGCGGAGTATAGGTGAATCGCGATACGGAATGGGAAAGTCACCCACTGAGCTCTCGGATGCGTTTAAAGAGCCTTCCCGGCTGGGTGAAAACATGCTAGGGATGTCTGTCTGCGAAGGGTGATGTTCCACAACGACGGGTTGCTGGGGCAAATTTTCTTCCTTCTGTGGTGAATCACTGATGTCGCCTCGGGTGATCGCAGCTGATTGTGAAGAGAATCTAGGATAGAGTGGTGGAACAATTTCGGGTGTACGAGGACCTGGATAACTGGAATGCGAACTAGAAGAGCTCTTGGAGATAGACGAAAAAGGCCGAGAATTGGCTGGTGGCGGTAGGTGAAATCGCGAATTATAGTCGTCAGTTGCATCTAATGGAAGATCGGGGAGGGGGGACGTTGGGGGTGGAGAATTGAATGAAGTTCGGAGTTTTTTTGGAGAATGGGTAGATGGTGATGAAATCGACGGTGATGGGAGAGTAGAGGAGCGAGAGCGACCGGAGCTGATTTGAAAAGCATACGGTGACAGTACGGGCAACCTTCCTGGGGTGTTGGTGGGTGGCAGCGAAGGTCTCCTCAACGAAGTCTCGTAAGCCTTGTATGAAGCCTCCTCGGGAGGTAGCCGACCCTCCTCCATTATTGGGGGATCTACATGTTCAACGGGTGAATAAGACAGCTGTAACCAGCTTTGGGGGGTGGAGGGGCCGGGACTTGGAGTTGCAAAATCTCGCAGCGCCGGCACGCTCTGACGACTGTCCCGGCGAGTCAAGGCAGCCGTTTCACGGAGGACAAAGTCAGGCAGGGGTAAATCTGGTGATCGTGGAAGACATGTAGATGCTCTGGCATCTCGGAAAGCGGGATGTAAAGTGATGTCATTGATGAACTACGTTCAGGAAGTTGTGTTAACGAAGGGCGGTAACGGTGAAATCTCAAGGTCACCAACTTTCAATTCCAGTTGTCGCAACTTTTTTAAAATGTGTTCAGTCGGCCGTCCTTTCTCTTGCTTTCGTGCTATGTACTTCGTAAGGGCTTGCCTAGCCTTGTTAGTGTCAGTCCCGCAGTTAGCGAGCACAGTGATGACCTAACGTAGTAAGTATAGTACTATATATGAATATGAACGCGGGAATAAGACACTCACCTCCATTTGGGAATCACCATTGAAGATGGTGCTCATGTTACTAATAAGTATATGGGGCTTCCTGGTTGTATCAGGTAGTTTTGACGGAAGTGGATGGTATAAATGGTGGAATGACAGTAGGGGGGAAAATGTGCAATCGAGGTTCAAGAAGCGCCTGGACTGCTCATCAACGTTTATGAACGATTTGAAACGTTACCGCAGATTGCCAGATGACCGAGACCGGTCCTGTGCTGCGTTCGGTGTACCAGTACCCACCAAACGTGCCTACATTAACGCACGTTTGCCGACGTAGATGGTAACATTCTTCTAGCCGCGGTGCTCAATTTAGCCTGTAACAATCTCAAAAGCTTAAGGTGGGAATGAGTTGCGCTCAAACTTAAAGCTTTGAAGATTCACTTACATCCCAGAACGTAAAAGTGCATCATGCATGTTTGGTAGGGGTACTCTCGTACTCTTCCAAAGTCCTCATTTACAGCACGTTCGTCTGTATTTGCTGCACGCCTGATAATAGTCTATCCCCGACTCGCCAGAGGAGGGCTTTTGCGGGGTACTCTGTTTTTATCTGAGTCATCGTTGTGAATGTCTGATAATAGTCTATAGTACCTGCCAAGGACTACTGAAATAGACCATGAGCATTGGCAGCACAATACCACAGAATTTTCGGAAGAATCCCGATGGGATCGTCACTCAGGGCCAGAAAGAAAATCACCACAAATCAAGGCACTTCATTGACATTGATGAGTCATGCACTACATAGGCACCACGAGAGTCACCAGGTTGTTCAGTTGATACACCTGACTGCACAATTCTAGTCTGCGGACTCATATCGGGTGTTCCCTCTACGTACAGTTCTAGCAGGTAAAAGACCTTCCACTTGTTTCATTCGAGTCGCAACCACGCCGTTCCCGGATCTCTAGCTTGACGGAACGTGAACGTGACAACTCATGTGAGTCTGATTATCAGGTGATCACGATGGACGTACTACCATTTACCTAACACAAACTAATTATGGGGCCGAGTACACAGGGTACCCGGCATTCTATGGTGAATGTTCCATTATGATCTGCCTAAGGGGTGATTGAATGGAGTAGGCTAATCGAGTCACAACCTTCGAACGAAGGACCCTGGATCAGAACTGGGGTTGACACAGACGTCAGCTGAATCAGCGCAGTGCTGGCAATAGAATGGCTCTACGGGTAATTTCAATTTTCGGAGAGTAGGTTTGTCCCACTGCCGCATCACAAAGCTCTGCCTTACCTTATCTCAACCTGTCAGAAAATAATTTATTGGCTGTCCTTGTCAGACGATGCTAAATTCTTTTCTATTTGCAATGACCGTCTAATATCCATTTGGGACTCCAGGAATTCATTTGCGGAAGTACGTACGTAGTACTAGCTCACCACTGAGCGTTCGAACGTTCGAACAATATTAATCATTGATCATCGCTAACTGGGTTCCAAGTGTTTCATGTACATCAACACACAGTACCAACAAGCTCCGACAACCTCGAATCGATGATGATCAGTTCTGAAGGAAGAAACTGGTCCCTGTTCGTCTATTCACTATTATCCAGTTTCCGCTTCTTGGTCTGCCTAGTGTCGACCTGAGAACTCGATGCCGTCGTAGTAAAACTCTATTGTTGTCCGCTGCGACAGTTGGTCTTGCGATGCCGTCTGGTACCTGCGCTACAAAGCCAGGCAAGTCACCTGCGGAGCGCGTGTGCGTTACCCAGAGTTCAGGATCAGAAAAGTCGGTCGCCCTGCTACGCGAGGGTCCGGCAGCAGGTTTGCAGCGGCAGCTGTGGTGAAAGGATAATAATAGGGGTAGTATATCCCAGTAGGGCCCGTTGTACCAAGAATTAATGTACCAGGTGAACCGGAGGCATATGTATGCGTGTTTGAAGTATTGTTCACGGCGGCGTTCGCATTGCTTCCCGCGCTGGGGGTCTGGTTGGTATTATATTGAGAGTAGTACGCATGTGCAAAAGCAGCAACTGCCACCCCATGTTCAGCACCGCCCGTTGTGTTCACAGATCCAGGTCGCACACTTTCGGTGGAGACGCGTGCTTTTTGTGGATGCAGCAATAGTTGGGATTGGATTCGCCGTGTGCGTGGACGCAGTACCAGAGCCTCCAGCAGACCTGCTCGAAGGGCCGCACCTTACGGCATTAGTGGGGGCCATGGCTGCCGTTGACGCACTCGCAGGGGGGGCCGCTGTGGATGCCGGGGCAACAGGGTGCAGGCGGGCAGGTATAACGATAGTGAGGGGAGCCGATGCGCCACTACCCCGACCACGCCCTCGTCCGTCGCCTCTATTCCCCTTCGCCCGCGATAGAGACGCCCGCCTCTAACAGAGGCTGCTGGTGCATGTGCCGAGTCCTGAGTGCCAGTCGTTGCCCCCAACGGGATTGCAGTGGTATTCGCATGTCCGGCAATGTCGGGTGCTGATGATGCATGAAACCCGGAGGCCAGGGCACAGCCAAAGGAGGGTGGCGCAAGGTAACGGGCGTCAACCTCAGATTCGAGCAAACGGCAGGGCCGCTGATCGCTCGTTGCGAATTCCGATCAATCGAGATTTTTGAATTAGCTGAAGACTGAGATGTTGAATGGGTGTTAGTGGGAGGCATGGGCATGCGAGGAGGCATCACTCTGCCGCACGTGGGACACTTGGCGCCTGTAAACACGACTGCATTCGCCTCCATCTTCCGCAAGATCCCATGGAGGGGCGTATAATACAAGCTCCCATTGTTAGGTGTATGATAAATACTGGCAGAGGGGGTGTACACCACCCGCTGCAGAAGGGTTGGGAGTTGTTGCGTACTTCTGTGCAGCTTGAGAGACAGTACTCTAAAATTATTGTCCAATTGTCACGTGATGTTTGTAAAATCCGCAACATCTACCTTAATGTTTTGAATATTCAATTTTGCTTTACTACCCGCGTTGATGTCCTCACAGTATGACGTGCTTATTGTAGGCGCTGGTATCGCTGGCTCCGCTCTTGCCCATGCACTGTCACAGTCTTCAGCTCCACAACGCCGTATTGCACTCCTCGAGCGGAGTCTTGCTGAACCTGACCGCATAGTCGGCGAGCTGCTCCAACCTGCCGGTGTCGCCTTCCTCGACAAACTTGGTTTACAGGGTGCATTAGAAGGTATAGACGCGATACCAGTACACGGATACGCGGTCGTTCAAGATGGTCGCATTGTCCATATCCCCTACCCTGACGGACGAGAAGGACGGAGTTTCCACCATGGACTATTCGTGCAGGGACTGAGGGAACACGCAATGCGCGCAAAAGGTGTGGATGTCATCGAAGCAACAGTAAACGAACTGGTGGAAGAGGAAGGAATGGTTGTCGGTGTAAAGGCTACGCGTTCTAGCGGGAAAGAGAAGCAAGTTTTCCGCGCAGACTTAACAGTTATTGCAGACGGGTGCTTCTCGAACTTCCGTAGTGCCGTACAAGGTCCATCTGGACGCCCTTCAAATACCAGGTCGCATTTCTGTGGTGCGATACTCAAGGATGCACGATTGCCGATATCGCAGCATGGCACTGTCGCACTCGTACGTGGCCACGGACCTGTTCTACTATACCAAATATCAGAACACGATACCCGCATTCTGGTAGATGTAAAAGGTCCCGTACCATCCGACTTGAAGGTTTGTTTTCTGCCGTTCATAGTTGGCATGTGCTCAAGACCCCCCAGAAACATATCCTCACTAAAATTTTGCCTTCCCTCCCTAATCAACTACACGAGCCGATCCGCGCTGCTCTTGCTACTGATCGTGTTCGCCGCATGCCTAACTCGTTCTTACCGCCTGCCTCTCAGACGCACAAACGTGGTGTCATCCTTCTCGGGGACGCCTGGAACATGCGCCATCCGCTAACAGGCGGCGGTATGACCGTTGCACTGTCCGACGTATACATACTTTCCCAGCACCTTGATAAGATAAACGACCTACTGGACTGGAGTCAGATGAAGGATGTCCTCGACAAATGGTGGTGGGAACGCAAAGGGTTGGCTGCGACCATCAATATTATGAGCATTGCCCTTTACGACGTGTTTGGGGCTGATGGCGAGTGTTTGACTGTTTTCCAAGACGGATGTTTCAAGTATTTCGAAAGGGGAGGGGAATCCGTCCGTGGTCCAATATCGTTGCTGAGTGGGTGAGTGATTTCCAAGTGACGATTGCCGTGTTTTCTGTGTTGACTGCCGACCTAGAATTGCGCCTTCAACCTCACTCCTTGCATACCACTTCTTCTATGTGGCAATTTATTCTATATGGGTGCTCTTTGCACATCCTCGACGTATACATGCGCCTCGCGCAAATAGCGAGTCGCATGTGAATGGCACCCCCGATATGACCGGGAATGGTGGAGTGCACACTGACGAAAAACATTCGGACGTGCATATCATGCAAATACCCTCAATATTAGATTACCCTCGATTATTCTGGCTGAGCTGTAGAGTCGTACGTTCTGCTACTTAATCTTTAGTGGTGCCGGCTGACGTTTTTCTGTAGTTATGGACAGCCTGTACAATATTTGGACCCCTACTATGGACAGAGATTCGTTGGTGGTGAGCTTGTTGGAACGATTCAGGACAGTTTCTATATTTTGGAATTATTGTACTTACCTGCGGCGTATGGAGGTACAGCTGTGAACAGTATTCAGATGTGTTTATGGCTTGTTATAATCTTCTACATAAGTCTGTTATTAACTGAGAAACGGTGGTGGACGTGTAGTGTACAGTATGCATTGCAGGATTCCTACGTGAGCTGTGGTACATCACGGCAGGGATGGTGCAATATCGGGACCTTGTCGCGAACTCCTCATGGTAATCTAGATTTTCAGACATCCATGGCTATGTACCAATAACACAAATTTCTCGTAGTACACATAGCCATATTTAGCAAAAGCAAAATGATGTCCTACTATAGTCCTCATGGCCGCCACATCAAGGACTCATGCATTCACTGATGTAGGTGGCTGCACTCACACAAATTTGACGCTGTTGTCACTCGACAACTGGAGCACCAGGGGATCGGTGTAGCCTTTGATTTTTCCATCCTATGATTTCACGCTGTTAGCGATCTCGTATCTGTCAACACCACAGACCAACATCCAAGTCGCACCCAAGGTAATACGAGTTTGTGTGATACGAGTTTGTCTCAGGGAGGGCTTCTTGAACTCGAGCTCCTACGTTCAAGTTAGGGTGGCACCAAAATCTGGTGCTTCCCGGCGCTGCATGTCCTATACAACATCGCACTTTCACTCTAAAAAGTGACTCCCAAGCACCATCAAAACCGAAAGCCCCCAGATTATATGTGAACGCCACCAACCTCTCCCATTATCTGGAGCTGGACCTCTTGCCTGTGTAGCGAATAGGACTTATTGCCTGGGACGGAGACACTGCAATGGCGAGTCTCTTACCCAAGCTATCAGAGGCCGCTCCCGCTGGATTTCTCGATGACGACGGACCGGGGCAGGGGCCGTAGTCGAGTCACGAATACAGCCTGGTTGTGATGTGAAATATCTGAACGTGCTGTGGAAAAAGTGGACAAAATAATCAGAGAGGTGATGAATACTATCATCGACGAGAAGATATCTCCAGGCGCCTCCAGCCGAGATCTAGTCACAAACGAAAGGGGTAGATGGATGATATTGCGAATCTACAGGCAGAATGAGGTAAAGGACTCTAAACTTCAAGGACTAGTGGTATGGCAGCCGAGGAAGAAAAATTGTCCGTAGATAATGGGATGGGCAATAGATCTATCATTACAAAATTCAAGCTTGGAAGAACAGCCATGTAACAAAAGGGGGATGATGTTCCAGTCGTGATGAAGTACAATGCGGAAGGAATTAGTCCAGGGAAAAAGGTTGGAGATTGAAAAGATCATCAAGTGACGATTGCCCCCTGGTGCCAACTTCAAAACGTTGGGCTTTTGTTCGAACAAATGGCCTTCGAAGACGAGGGGGCTCCCAGTTGTCGCTCGGCAAGTATTGGTGAGGAGCTGGTGGATAGTACGTATTTGCAGCTTCTGACTTCACATATTTTGCAAGCTGGTGGATTCTGTGCTTTTTTTTCGCCCAAGTATCTGGTGCTAAAAATTATTGGTCAATCTAGGTCTCCTGAATACTTGTCGCAGCAGATTTACGTACGTAACATAACGTCCGATGTTGCGTATGATGTCCGTGCCGACGAGACAGCAGTAGTATGCGCTGCAATCTGGGCGGTGCTTTCACAAGCGGCTAGTGGGTTCTTAGGCACTAGCAACTCCTCAATGCCCAGTTGGGCACGAGTATCAACTCCTCCGCACCGTATGACGAAATTACTCTCTAGAACAAACAGAAGCGAAGCGATTCGATCTGTATAAATGATGAATACGGAAATCCAACAGAATAATGACTGATATTTACCCCCTATGTCAGCGGGAAACGCGCGCCTGCGGCGTCTGATCGAAACAAGTAGTTTAAAATACGCCGACTTGTACGGCAAAAGTTCCTCTGGACAAAGAACGAAAAGGTACAAGACCACTCCCTCACGTTTGAGAGTCATGCGCGCGCCCTTAATACCGAGAACATTATTGAAAGAGTTTGCGAGACTTGAGATTATGTTTACCTCAGTCAGAGCGATCACCTACACGGAAAAATCATGGTCAGTTAACTATAAAAGATGATTTGATTGTAAAGGCGAGACCTTTCTACTGTAGCGTTGTAATTCATAGTCTTCCAAGTTACTGAATTTCATCAAGTCATTGATACCATCCAGAAAAAGGCCTAGAGAGCCCAGACGATCTGCCAGATCTTCAACGACTTCTCGACAATCGAATGCAGGGATGTCGGCATTCATGATGCGAAGTGCAAGTAGATGGGAAGATGGAAAGAGGCAGAACGAAGAGAAATATTGTCAACACGGAATATAAACACTGGGTCCACAAATATTAAAAGTGCTTGCCACAGGCCGTACAAGTACATTAAAAACGCTGCAGTTTCCAAACAGGAAATGTAAGATGTGGATGTTGTGGGCGGTGTGTGGGCGGCGGGCTGCTGATTGTCAGCCATAGCGTGCGTAAACCTGAGCTGTAGTAAAGATCCTGTTTGAAGGAGGGGATCCAGGAGTTTACTACGCTCGAACGTGCGAGCTGGACGTGCAACCATGTCATGAATGAAAGTGCAAAGGTTCTGATTGCTGATGCAGAAATGCAAGGATAATCCGACACGATAATCGTTAACTTTGCATGGGTTCATTGGGTGTCTTTATACATATGCATCGGATATATCAGGTACGAGCGAGTTTCAAATCGTGTCAAACAATCACCTCATGAGTTCATAACCCTTCCATAAGTCTCCGGAGAATGGGGGCAGTCTGCTTCCTCGTCGCGCTCGCATTACCCTGCTTGTATGCCTTTGTAACATATGACTCCCCAAACCGCGCTTCATCAGTCGTGACTTCTTCAGCATCCTCGTCCTCAGATTCCTCAGTCGCGTTGGCGCCGAACTTTGAGAAATCAAGCCTCTTCAGCTTGAGCTCTTCGCTTGATTCGAGGCCCTGCCAAAGTTTCTCTGCGATTCCTTCATCCGCCTTGATATCCAAAGTTGCTCCCGCCTTCCCTTCCCTTTCTTGCTCCGAAAAGTAGTGAGTATGCTATGCCGAGAACGCCAAGATCTCTTTCGGCGAGCCAGTCTTGAATTTCTTTTATAGGATAACTCGATGATACAAAGAATGCAGAGAGGCGAAGTGGGACGGTGGCAAGACCTGCATTTATTATATCGGATAACTCGATGATACAAAGAATGCAGAGAGGCGAAGTGGGACGGTGGCAAGACCTGCATTTATTATATCGGAAAATAGCGTCGCATCCTCGGATGCAGGCATGCTGAATGCGTACTCCTTGTAGTCTCTCCACAACAAGTCCCGCGTGCTGAGATGGGATACCGATAGCTTCTTCTCTCCCAACGCCGCAGACAGAGACTGAACGGAAGGGAGGGGGTAATTGATGATTGTTTATCTGATGATGCGGAGACTTGTTCATTGTGTCTAAAAGGGACTGGGGAATTAAAAACGCAGCTGCCTCCCTGTCGATATCCAGAGCTTTTCCTCCCTCTTTTAGGCCTTGGGTATCGATCAAAATAGCACTCAGCAAGAGCGTCGACAGTTCTGCGGGTATGAAAAGATTGGGGGACAATTGATACACTCTTGCAACAAGAGACGAGCAACTTCCAGCCGGTTCGACTATCCTGGGATCGGTTGTGTCCTTGTATTGTCCTTCATCCTCGTGGTAATCTATCACTGCAACAACCCTGGCTGTTGGAGATGCGTATCTAGTGTGAAGGTCGTTGTGATCCACAAGTGCGAACTGGGACACTCGTAGATCACTAGAGCAATAAAGCTCTTCAAAAGGGTAGTTGATTCCAGCAAGACCAAGGGCATGCAAATTCTCTGCTCTAAGGACGAAATCATCTTCAGGTGTAGTGATGTATGCGATCACTTTTCCGCTCGTGTTGGAGCGCAACCAAGCATATCCGAGTGCACTAGCGAGAGAATCGAGATCTATGTGATGCAAAACAACGGTAAGGACTGAAAAAGAGCGAAATACGGTTGATCATGCCGCCCGCTTCATTGCCCATCACCACTGTCCATCCCTCCGCATTATCAGCTAGAAAATTTGCCTTCCTGAGTCATGCTTTCAATGCTCGTACTGTGCTACAACGCCCTGATCCATCAGCACCAGATGACATTGTTTGCGCAACGCGAGAGTCTAAGACAAGACCTCTGTGATAAGAAGATAATCTCAACCATGGATTCGGTATACTTGAACCGTTAGGTATAATCCGCTTCGATCCGATCAGCCAATCACAGCGCGATATCCATCTGTCACGTGGTGAGAAAAAGCCATAGCCATGGACATGGCGCTGCCAACCGTACACAATTTGCGGAAGAACGTACGTAGTGCTCACCACTGAACGTTCGAACGTTCGAACAATATTGACTCATTGATCATCGCTAACTGGTTCTAAGTATACCATGTACATCAACATACAGTACCAACAAGCTCCTCTGACAACCTCGAACCGACGATGATCAGTTCTGAAGTAAGAAACCGATCCCTGTTCGTCTATTCACTATTATCCACTTTACGTTTCTTGGTCTGCCTAGCGCCGACCTGAGAACTTGATACCACCGTAGCATCAACTCTATTGTTGTTCGCTGCGCCAGTTGGTCTCGAGACGCTGTCTGGTACCTGCGTTGCAAAGCCAGGCAAGTCGCCTGCAGAGCGCGTGTGCGTTACCCAGAGTTCGGGATCAGAAAAATCGGTCGCCCTGCCACGCGAGGGTCCGGCAGCAGCGTTTGCGGTGTTGGGAGCTGTGGCTGTGGTGAAAGGATAGTAATAGGGGTAGTATACCCCAGTAGGGCCCGTTGTACCAAGAAGCAATGTACCAGATGGGCCAGAGGCATATGTATGGGTAATTGCAGTATTGTTCACGGGGCGTTCGCATGGCTTCCTGCACTGAGGGTCTGGTTGGTGTTATATTGAGAGTAGTATGCGTGTGCAAAAGCAGCGACCGCCACCCCGTGTTCAGTTGTGTTCATAGATCTAGGTCGGACACTTGCAGTGGGAACGCGTGCTTCTGTGGACGCAGCGGTAATTGGGATTGGATTCGCCGTGTGCGTGGACGTAGTACCAGAGCCTCCAGCAGGTCTGCCCGAAGGGTCGCACCTCACAGCATTAGTGGGAGCCATGGCTGCCGTTGACACACTCGCAGGGGGGACCGCTGTGGATGCCGGGGCAACAGGGCGCGGGCGGGCAGGTATAACGATAGTGAGGGGAGCCGATGCGCCACTACCCCGACCATGCCCTCGTGCGTCGCCTCTATTCCCCCTCGCACCCAAATAGAGACGCCCGCCTCTAACAGAGGCTACTGGTCCCTGTGCGGAATCCTGAGTGCCAGTCGTTGCCCCCGACAGTGCTGCAGTGGTATTCGCATGTTGGGCAGTGTCGGGTGCTGATGATGCATGAAACACGAAGGGTGGAAGCCTAATGGGCCAAGGCACAGCCAAAGAAGGGTGGCGCACGGTAACAGGCGCCAACCTCAGATTCGAGCTAACGGTAGGGCTGGTGATCGCTCGTTGCGAATTCCAATCAATCGAGATTTTTGAATGAGCTGAAGACTGAGATGCTGAATGGGTGTTAGTGGGAGTCATGGGCATGCGAGGAGGCATCACTCTGCCGCACGTGGGACACTTGGCGCCTGTAAAGACGACTGCATTCGCCTCCATCTTGCGCAAGATCCCATGGATCCCACGGAGAGGCGTATAATACAAGCTCCCATTGTTAGGTGTATGATAGATACTGGCAGAGGGGGTGCACACCACTACACCCGCTGCAGAAGGGTTGGGAGTTGTTACGTTCTTCTGTGCAGCTTGAGAGAAAGCTTTGTACGTTTCATGTTCCGAAGTTGTCGAATCCTGCACTTTCTTCGCCTGTTCTTTCTTGCGCTGGCGAGCTTTGGTCTGCTTCTCACTTTCAGCCAGTGCCGCTGCTTGCGCTTGCTTGGAAACCTTGACTTGTCTACCAGATCTTGTCGTCACAGGAAGGTTCACGGGAAGTTTTAATGGTGACCGAGCTACAATGCAAGGTCATAAATAACTGCTTCACAATCAGTATCTCAGAGGTGGCTTACGCCGGTGTTGCTCGAGGGTATCATGAATACGAGAGCTGGATTCCACAGCAAAAGGCAATTGTTGGCTCATCTCGAAATCTAACGAAAAGCAATCAGGTATATATTTAGAGCGCTGACCGAGCCACCCAACCATATCCAAACGCAAAGTCTTCAATATCCAGGATAGCAGCTCCACGACCACGCATGTTCGCAAGTGCTGCATCTGCGATACTATCAATAAGTTGGGTGTGGGCTTCATAGAAAGTGTTCGTGATGATCGTCAAAAGCTATAGGAGGCAATCATATCGAGAGCTCTGGATATTCTTTAGAGTGGTTCTCACCACAGGTATATCGCTTCCCACAGTTGACATCCCAAAACGTGCGCGAAAGTACTCTGTTGCCCATCTATGCACGTCCGTGAAATTCTCGATCAGCTGAGGACCGAGTTGACGAGATGAATCAATAGGTGTATCTTTGGGGTGGTCGCGATTGGCAAGCAATTGCAATGCCCCTTGAATAAATTGAGAAGGTTCGTTAAGCTATAGAACCGTCAATGTGGCGTTTACGTGATAAAAACAAAAAGAACTTGCCGATACATTAACCCTCTGACCAAGTGGCAAAGGAATTTGCCTGTTGGCATAATCCTGTAGGATAGGCCGAGTATGTGTGACCCACTCGTCAGTTGACTAGAAGCCGAGTCGTGACATGCAGCAATTAAACGGAGCGCCACAACTCACAGAAAAATCGGGTGAAGGATATAATAGATTTCCATCGTCCGATGGGCCAAGATCAGTTGGATGTCGACCAGAAAAGAATTGGTGTTCTGTCAAAGCTTTCCCCTTGCCCTTTGCGGCAGCAGAATATCTCCCGTCAGGATTCTTCTTAGGCAATTCCTGAAGTGTGGACTGCACCAGCGGTGGGGCAATGGTTGACGGTAAGTTCTGAGTAGATGAGCCCATGCCACCAGGAAAGAGCTCGCGCAGTCGGTCAGGAAGAGTAGTGGAGTATACATTGTCGTACATGTCATCATCCGGAATGAGAGCTGGCGTTGTGGCATCGGAAGGACCGTAAGAGTAGGGTGAATCTGCTCCTGTGATGGGTTGTACTGATATAGGGTTAACGACAGGCTGGTATATCCCATCCTTACCAGTTCGGGAGGGTTGTTCGTGATGAGGTGAATAACGCAGTATCTACGTTTGAAGCAGCACGTTCGACACGAGTGGTTCTTCCAACCATATTGGCGATATATAAGATGAGTGATTCTATGTGCTGAATGAAGACTGGTACTTAAGAAAGACCAAGGAGTGCTGTGGACGCCCATCGTCATCGTCAAAGTACGTATACAGGTTGGAAAACAAAGGTGCAGAACACTGATTCGGCGTGAAAGAGTGTTAGACAAAGGAAAAATATGACTCGCAAAGGCTATCACGGTGCCGCTATACAATGAATCTGCATTGTCTGTGATTGTGTAGACTGCAGAATTGAAGTTTGAACAGGCTAGTTGGCTTTTGACAAGTACTTGCAATTGCCGAGTCCAGAGCGTTTGCCTGACGTAAGCGGCGGCGCCCACTGCAGTCTACTACTATTAGCCTGCAGGCTCCCTCGTCGACTGATCAATCGATCAGCGTTTCAACGTTTACCAGTAATCCTACATCGATGCTCAAATTTCAAAATTGCAAACCTGTGTATACAATTAGGCCCTTTAGCATCGTGGTTACACGCCTACCATCATACCGTATTCCTGTCAAGCACCGGTCACAGCCTCACTGCCGCGATAGCCTTTGAAGCGTACCCGGATGTCAACTCGATTCTCTATGATCCTGTTCAAGCCCGGTACACCTGTAGCTACTGAGCGCCGAGCGCTAAACAGCAGCTCGATCGTCTATCAATAACTGAAGGCTATCAGTCAAGATACGGTTCCCAGATCAACAACCACACCACGATAGTTCCCCACGCACGCCAACAACAGCGGCGGACAGCACAGGGTTAGTTGAGAGGCAGGGAATGCTATATATATAAGTCCCGTTCTCTGTCCCTGCAGTCGCCGTCACAGTTCTCCCGTTTCCTCATCCAGGGACACCTTTCATTTCTTTTTTCTTGTGTTACTACCTGTATATATATTTCTAGGGTGCAGGCCATCTTCCTCTAGGCCATCATCTATAGACTTCCGCGACCATGTCTTTCAGGATCTCGTTCTCCGACCTCCTTTATTTCACTCGCAATGCGAGAAAAGCGCCTCTCATCCCAGAGGGTTTCGTCCTCGAAACACCTCCAGAGCGCAAAGCTGTGGAAATCCAGCTCAAGCCAGAACCTCCAATATTCCGCTCAATACTTCCCACTATTTCCCAATCACAAGTAGCTTCGCCCGCATCTTCCATCCTGGAGATACCCCTGGGGCCTGTCATTTTGACAGGAGATAATAGCACGGAAACCCTTGTCAACGTTATTTCAAAGCCCGGATTTCCACCTCCAATTTTGCAGCTCTACCCATCTGCTAATAAGCCTGTGCAGACGCGACGCATATCATTCGCGGATTGTATCATGCCCTCGCGTCCTGTGGAACCCGTCAATGTCGTCGACGTGGGTCAGGTCCCGTCCAAGCCCTCCGCAGCCGCAGCGGAAACACCTGAGCAAGCAAAACCTTTCAGAGAGGACGTTCCTAATATGGAAAAGACATCAAAGAGGAAGAGCATCGTGCGGAGTATGTCCTTGCTTGCCTCTCGCACATCTGGCGCAAAGGCGCACCGCTTCTCAGTCTCTGCCTTTTCATCGCTGACGGGTGTCATGAATAAGCGGGCAAGCAAGCGGCCTTAGACCGCCCGGTTCAGGGGCGCAGGGAAGAAGACTCGAGAATAGCCTAGGAAGTGAATTCCGCAGAAGAGGCGCACCGATGCTTGAGATATGGTTTGGCATTAGACACGTGTTTGGTTGTATCCTATCCTATGATATCTGTAATTTCTGACCTAACCTTAATCACTTAGTAATTATGTTCTATGACATGTAGCCTCTAGGGGTGGTCCATGCAGTATTGCGAACTACTTTGGTCTAAATCACGATCTACATAATATACAACATTCAAGCTATGTAAAGACACTGTAATCGTATGTTATGGAACTGGGAAGTGTAGGATACACAATTGGCGTATGAAACGTTTATCTGATTATCATGCAGCCGCACGCGTCTAGGTACTGTTCCGGATTCGCTCCCCATAACGCCGAAATATCCAGGGACTGCAGGTACAATCAACAGGGGTGGCAAGAGGAGGAACAAGAACGGAGATGTACGCAGGACAACCTGGCATCAGGATTGCTACGACTGCAAGAATGGTATCGCCCTTCCCGAACCTCGATGCGCTGTACATCGCTATAGCAAATAACGAAAGTCCAAAGCCAGCTAACGACCGCAGGAAACAGATGACGGCTCACAAAAGGCGTTAGATAGGTGTGATCAAATACGGGAAAAGTACCAGAAGCAGCATGAAGCGGAAAGAAATCAACGATGTCAAGCTGTATGCACTGGAAATTCAAGGCAACGCCTACTCCTACAAAAGCGGCGCCCTATGAAGTGTCAGTAAGGGAACAGCGCCGACAGAATGAAACTAACGATATCTGGAACTATTCAATGGGTGTGGGCTTAGGCACTTCAGCCTACGATCGAGCACTCTGTTGGAAGTAGTAGATATTCGGGGAACATAGCGGCTGAAGGCACGTCTTGAACACTCAAGGAAGAGGACACAATAATCGTAACGAACTTAATCTGAACTCCGGCTTTCCAAGGCTCCATTTCTGTTCTTGAAAGGAGCATGAACCTTTCCAACAAGACGGGGCGTAAGCTAAATAAAATCAACAAGGATGAATGAAATACGACCATTGATTCACTCACTCTCTCGCAGTTCGAACAGTGTAAGGATTTTCACAACCGCATCAGCAATAGTAAATCCACGTCGACTAAAACTATTGGAAAAATGAGAGCAATAAATGATTAGTAAAAAACCACATACCACCCATCTCCAAATCCAGGCTGAGCGTTCAGTAATCCTGGGGAGCTGGAGTTAGATGAAGTTGTTAATGCACCTCGCTCGTGCTCAAACTTTCCGCTGAAACATGTGTACCTATAAATAAGTTGAGCTGCAACGCCGAAGGTCTGACTCGGTCCGTTGTGGCGGCCCGAATAAGTCACGGTCACTGCACGTCACGGTAAAATGTTAGACCAACACATCTACGAGGCAAGCTACTTAGATGGTCGATTCTGAGACGGGGCCGTATGTGCTGAGAGAGAACCACGACTCGTGCATGTACTCAGGGTGCGGGCCGCGGCCAGCCGGGAGCCATTACCAATGAACGCAGAACTCTGATCAAGCGTCACATGTAAGGTATATCGATAATCCAGGAACTCCACTTCCGCCATGGGTATTAATAAGGACAGTGCAGATATAAGCAAGCTTATCTTTTCCCCTCCCCCAAACGCTTCATCATGCCGGCTGTGCAACCTCCCTGCAAGGTCCTTGTCTCTGGTGCGAATGGCTATATCGCGATTTGGGTCGTGCGTACCCTTCTCGAGAAGGGGTACTCTGTCCGTGGAACAATTCGGTCTGAGGAAAAGGCAGCACACCTCAGGCAACTGTTCAGCTCGTATGGTGATAAGCATGAGGTGATCGTCGTCGAAGATATCACAAAGGTGTGCATAGGCAAGAAAGTGATCGCGCGGGACCTTACTGATGTATTCAAAATAGGAAGGTGCCTTTGACGAGGCAGTTCAAGGTGTCGATGCCATTGAGCACACAGCCTCCCCTTTTCACATGAATGCGGACGACCCGAATGGTACATTGACACGAATTAATGCCCTGATTTTCACTCACCTGTTCTTAGAACTTATCATTCCCGCCGTCAATGGCACTGTTGGGATCCTGAAGAGTGCTCTCAAGTATGGGTAGGTACTTTGTCGCCGTCTGAAGGTGTGCGCTGTTAATTGATATTGCGTCAGTCAATCTGTCAAGCGTGTCGTGGTTACTTCATCAGGAGCTGCGATTCTGCGTGATACGCCAACACCATCTACTTTCTCCGAACTGGACTGGAACGAGCAATGTCTGGAAGTCGTGAGGGAAAAAGGTCGCGAAGCGCCTAATATGATGAAGTATCGTGCTTCGAAGACTCTTGCTGAGAAAGGTACGTGGTATCAAATTTGCTCATCGTGGATTGGCGATTCTCATATCCTTGCAGCGGCTTGGGAGTTCTGGAACACGCATAAGGCCAATGTCGGCTGGGATCTCACTGTCCTTAATCCACCTTTTGTGAGTTTTACATCAGGAATTTTAACCGGGACGAACTCACCCATTTCTCAATGATAGGTCTTTGGGGTATGTCGGAAACGTACTTCTCATTCGATTTCCCCTATTTAAATCTACTTCTTCCATGATAGCCCGCTATCAACGCGGCCACAGCACCGTCGGGATTGGGCACGTCCTCGAACATGTTTTACAACTATGTCGCCCATCCAAACTCCAACGGAGCAACAAACGAGTTCCTTGCTTCCGTCGGTACAGCCTGGATCGATGTACGTGACCTTGCAGAAGCGCATGCCATCTCGCTCGAGAAGGAAGCTGCAGGTGGCGAACGAATGATCGTTAGTGCAGGTACGATAGCTCCATCCATCCAGCAATGATCAGGCACTCACCTTTGCCCCAGGACTTTGGAAATGGCAGGATTTCAGTAGGTGCACTCTGTAGTGCTGCTGCTCTATTACTCACATGATATTTCGTAGTTGACGCTGCTAATACAATCTCGCCGCCACCGAAACTCACAACAGGTGGTCTGCCGAAGGGTAACCCTGGTGCTGGTACTGGACACCCCTCCACGGTACACCTTCTTCACTACGACACCGCGAAGGCTGCACGAATCCTGGGGCTCAAGTACCGAACTATCGCAGAGACGACGAAGGACACGCTGGCGGACTACGAAGCAAAGGGATGGTGATACGTTTTGTACCAAGAATTTGGATGGATTGTACCGTCATGGCCGCAATTGGATGAATAAATGTGAGAATTGAACGTTTCTACACAATCAGTACTCTTAGTATATACATGTGAAGCACAGGCAACTAGGCTAAAAGGTTTTGCTGAGACGAGCAGGTATAGCAGTATTCGAATTCCATCTGTCTGCGTGGCACAACCAATTATTCATACCGACGAATGCGTGTATTCTAATACCACGTCTGAAGTTCAGCCGCTCCACATTTAGGTTTGGCTTTCTAACATAGTGACCTGCCTGTGCAATGTCATTCAAACACTATTTGCAAGAGAGGAAGAGTGTTGAGAGGTGATCCGTCAGAGCACCCGAGTCGGTACCACTCTAATATCACGTCTGTCATGACTGTCATGACTGTCATTGCATGTCACTCACCTAGTTATGATTATTTTCTTTCTTCCTTGCTACTTAAGGCAGCTAGATGCCATCATCGCACCTCAGTCTCTTTGACCATAGACTGAGGTGTGTACGCTGTTCTCATTCCTACATACAAAGTACTCATTAGCACACCCATTAGGCTCGCGCTACTTTAGGTTTGTGCATTAGGAATAATAGTCTCTTTGACCATAGACTGAGGCTCGCGCTACTTTAGCTCTCACCTCAATAAAGAGGAAAAGACAACAGCTAAATAACACCAGTTGAGCTTTCTGAAGATAGAGAGCCAATCTATTTCGGAATGGTAATAGGTCACACATCACCCATGGAAAGTCGATACATTGCAACCACACCAGATTAGACATGAGAGCCAGCAGTAATCCCAGAAAATCTGAGATTGAGATACTGCCTCATATGTAGAATACAGCCCTTCATCCAATATTTCAGGGTGTTAATATGGCCAGCTAGTGCGGGCCACATCGCCAGGATAACTATGGCGGCCCTAAATTGGACATGCAATTGAGAAGGTGAGAGTATCAGAAGTGCGGAAAATCACAATGGATAATGCTGCAGCAAAGAATATTGCTCTGTCAAAGAATGAGTCACTACGCCGTGGTATTTAACCCGAAACGCACCCCCAAATCAGGAATGCAAATGGCAGACTGAGCATCAGGGCAAGGCGGTCGGTGGAAAGCGACATTCTAAACATGAACGAGGCCTGTAGACACAATTAATAGAAATCCAATAATTTGAAAAACAAAACATACCAAACGTCTGTAGGGGTACCGCTGGCTGTCATAGACTTGTCTAGCAAATCCTAGTGTGACCACCAACGAGCCCAAAGCACAAAGGATAGATAGATAAGATACAAGGGTCGCGAACGTCTGAGTCTGGACGATTGGAACCCCGAGAAAGCTAATATCAACAGCAAGCATCACAGTAGACTAGCATGGACATTGATTACATCGAAAATATAAAACAAAAGTGCAACTCACGAATATTGTGTATCCGTTCCATTCGCCATTGAGACTGTCGATAAAATTCCTATACCGCCTCATTTGAATGATGCTACTGTCGACACGTATCATGCGAAGGGCCTTGCTATGAGCATCAGGGGATCCAAACATAATAAAATCCATGACTTGAAAAAGGATAGTTTTCGAGCACGGGTTGGAATCTCCGTATAACGATTGCTCTGCGTCAAGTCGGGCGATTGGTTGTCCAGAGAAATTTCGAAAGTTGGCCCTAGCTGGCAAGGTGATTAGGAAATGGGGTGCGCTTGCTACCAGCGTGAGCTCACTGATTCGTTTCATACATCGAGCTGAAATCAGTGAACATATCAGAAGCAATCTATTGACATTTGGCCTTCAGACTTACCAACGATACGAATAGAATGCTCATGCTCCCTGTTAATACTGCCTGAAAAGACAATCAATGAGGACATACCAGGTCAGGAAATGATTCACTCATAAGCAGATCCATAAGGTGGAGTATACTTGCAGTCTCATCCGAAGTAAAAGGTGATACAGATTTTTCGTCAGTGATATATTCTGTCACGGGTCATTCTGGTGCTGAGTGAGAGGCTTACTTTACTCACCTGCGTGGCCATGCATGACGACTTCTTTGAGTCTCACGACAACGTCTTTCGGAAGAAACCGTTTGTTTGGATATTGTTCAACGAATTTCCTGTCAATATCACGATGTATAAACCATGGGAGGCAGAAAAGGGCTATGAAAAAGCGTCAACACATCTACTCCGGCAAAGCGAGGGAACATACGTACGTCTGAGGCCGTACAAACCAGTACTGTGATTCTAGTGCATATCCTAGGAGTCGCGCGATGAGAGAAGCTCGAATGGAAAAAGAAAGAACTCACTAACATGGCTTTTGCGTTCTACACCTCGAACACCAAATATAACGTAATGAGATTCGTGGGCCTCGAACCAGAAAATCACACGTCTATCATGGTCAACAAAGTAGTAGCCAATGCATTTATTATCCTTATCCATGAACTCCAATGCCAACTCAACAGACGGATGCAAAACAATGTCTGCATTGTGCGCTTCTTCATACGCCTTCTCGGCAGCCTTGCCCATTCTGGTCGCAATTGCAGGATCTCGGACATTGGCATCAGTGAAAACCCTCTGGTAGGCAACATGAGTAAGAGTGCAGAGATAGGATAGACTTGGACGCACTTTATACGGGTGATAAAAAAACAAAGCCCCGTCCGGGTGCGTGAGCGGCTCCCATCCCGCTACTGGAGCGAGGTCCCTACGAGGCCATTTCAGTCTCGTCCTTGGCTTTCAATTAACAAAGTACTGACTCTGAACAGTCGAAAGGACCTTTCTCAATTTCAAACACTACATACTCATCTCGACTGTAGGCATGGATCACAACGGCGACGCACTCGATAAATGAAACTTGCGTACATCTTTACATCCCTGTCGTATCGCCCGATCTGTCGGGGTGTAATGGGCATCAGGGTGGTGTCAAGGGATTGTCCTGGCATCGGGCACTGTAGCGACGTGGTATGGATGTTGTGTTCGGACCCACTGCCAAAGCTCAATGGTGAACATGAGTTCTGCAGGGCCTGGTTTTTGGAAGCCATGACATGCATTCCTTCGTCAAGCGCTAGAGTTTGAGGGTGAACGTCCATTCCAAGTTGGGATCCTTCGTGACCTAGAGGCTCTTGAAGGATCGGCACTGCAAGTGTCAAAGACGCCGTCAATTTGTCTTGTTCGTTTGCCTGAGAGCTCAACGCTAAACCCCATTCTCTACAGGTTCTCTCTTTTCCTGGTCCACGGATGATATAACAGTGTCGAATCAGTCGCAGTAGGGCAGAGAGGATTCCTGTGTATGACCGAACTGCGGTCGCCTTGACAACCACCCTCAACCAGGAAAGGAATGTCCGGATGTGTCGTCCAGGCATAATCATGGAGGCACTTTGAGCCGAGTACAGAAACTGTCTGCTGGTGGGCGAGAATATGGTAGAATAATAGTCTTGCAGGTATCAACAAGTCGACAACGTGGGTGCCTGAGCACTCAAGGGTAGGCTGGCTACCAAGTGAGTGAAATCAGAGGACTGGTGAGAAAGTTATATTGGGTGACTTCCCGTAAGAATCGACAGATAAGAGGGCGTCTGTAGGAGTTTTGATAGCTTACCGTCGGCTAATTTACAAACAATATCTGTAAACCATAAGACATAGTAGAACGTGAATTTACAGTTATTTTTCCTCACTGTCATGGATATCGAAGCTCTGATGCAGCATGTCTTCACTGATGATGAGAAGCTGGAACTACAAGCGGCACTCGCAAAGGTGTGTTTGTGCAAGAGATGTTGTAATCAGCCCCAAGAGAATTGGAATGTGTAGATGGGCTCATTTTCAGAAAGGAAATACAGACGGAACACGATGTACAAGGTCAAACGCGCGAATTACTGGGGACCATCGATGACGGAGAAAACAAAAATTATTCAATTGATCCGGACGAGTTCCGAGAGCGAGACATCCAAAAAGAGTAAGGAAATTGCCTCGAATCAGACGTTTTGTGCGCGACGAAGTTAGGGCGAAACATGGGTGGACCCGGGTGGCACCCGTACCCAATCCGCGGGTAGATGGAACTTCGAAGGCCTACCCACGCCCGTACGAGTGAGAGTATCACGGGTGCGGGTGAATCCGCGGATGGTGCGGGTCACCCGAGGGTGACAAATTGTACATTGTTAGGAATTGTAGATATGACTTGCAGGGACCACGATCCAACGGCAACATGCGCTTTGAAGGTCTGGGAGCTGATACCGTGTTGACGACGGTTGACTTGTAAATGGCCACCGGAGAAAGCTCGTTCGGTATCAACTGAGGAAGCTACGGAGTATTAGATTGCTGTCAATACTACTTGTAAGCCTACATACCTGGTGCGGACAAGTAATCAAGGGCCATTTGAGCCAGTCGAGGTCGAGTAGCACGAGCATTCTCCCAATATTGAAGAACTCCATTCTTGAAACACATGGAGAATCGAGGTATACTTCGATTGAGTCAGGAAAGAAGAAAGTGTCTTCGTCCTCACTATTGGGAGCAGCCCATTTACTAGTAGATGCCGTGCGCTACAGCTTTGAGGGTGCATTGGTCACGGTTGGGACTGATGATGTGAGTGTTGCATAAGTCTCAGACCACCGCTGGCGAACAACTCGTTGACCTCCGTGTGGCAAGCTGGGTGCCAGTCAAGGTTCCGGTCGAATCACTTGATTTTTTGTTGACGCCTATTAGGATTAGGAGCCATCGATAGACAGAGCCAAACACTGCCATAAGTGACTCTACATGAGTCGACAATGGGCCGTATTACATCAATCAATCTCTGTTTTTAGAACGCTTTGATCACCACGCCTTTCCTGAGTTTTGGCCATGATTGCTTGAGGTGCTGAGGTCCACAGGACCCTCATACACATCTAGCATTGCCCACGCGCAACGCGTTCTTCTGCTTTGCCTTTAATCCATATTCACAATGGAAACAACTGAAGAACTCCAGCAACTCGAAATCACCGCATTGAAGTCCATTTATGATACAGACTTCTTTGAGCCACCACCGCCCAAGGCTTGGAAGGTCTGCCCACTCGTCTTCTTGAATTAGTTCCTGAATATGTATATCCATGTCTAGGGAGCCACCAGATTGCCCGAATTCATCATCAAAGTTACCCACCCCGATCCGATCCATGCCTCCAAGGTCTACTTTCACTTGCATACCAGGTCAGACAACCTGGTGCTCATATTTTCTTCTTTCCTAACAAATGTCTCGTTAGACTACCTAAAACATATCCCACCCTTGCAACCCCCGTGTTCACTATACAGAAGCCTCGTGGTATTAACCATGATCATGAGGTAACTCTTCAGAAAGCCATTCATTCTGAGGCTCAGATGCTCCGAGGATCTGAAATGGTCTTCCAGGTGCGTATATAACAACTTTCCAAGTCATCTTCGTATCATTCACAATGTGTTTGATCGCGACTAGATCATTACGTCGGCTCAGGAGTGGCTAGCTGATCACGTCCATCCTGCCATTGAATCCTCCGGTTCTCTTGCTACTGAGATGACAAAGCGTGCTTTGGAAGAAGAGAAGGTATGCTCCCCATTATTGTCCCACTGAAATGTATTGATATCCGAATTAGGAACGAAAGCGACGAGAGGAGGAAGAGGTCGAAAAGGAGTTTGAGTTAGCAGCTCAACGTGCCGAAGAACTCCAGGAACAGATTCAAGCTGATGCGCAGAGGCATATGCTTGCCAAGGAGATGCAGTATAAGGCAGCTCGGCGAAGGGCGCAGTCTGATGCTACTGAAGTTCCCTCCTCAGGAGACACCCTCACAGAGTCCTTTCCCACTGAAATAGAATTCAGGGGAGTACGTTTCAATGCCGTCAAGATGTTTCATCCGCGAAAAGGTCAGTTTAATTTTACATTTGTATCCTCTAGAATACTTACCTCGTCGAGGGAGAGTGCCTTGGTATCACATACCTTGCAGATCCGTTGTGTGACGACGTCAACGCAACACTGCCGCTTGAGGTTCACACCATCAGCTTTAACTCGGACTACTACACGACTACTCAAGGTCAGATCAATGCACCTCATTCTAAGGCAGCCGACTGATTTTTTCTAGGGAAGAAAAAGTTACACGCAGCAGAAGCTGAGATCCAGAAACTGATCAATATTCAGCACCCAAACCTTCTAAGCACTCTTGCTGTCAAACTGAACTTCCCTTACTCTGGCGCTCCACCGCGCATCACCATTCTCTCCGAACAAAGACCTGCGTTAACGTTGCAAGACGTCCTTGAGGATTGTGAACGTCTTCGAGAAGATCGAGCATCAGTTCGTCGTGGAGTCTCTTGAACATCATCGTAGTATTGATATGCTTTGACTCTTCTAGGAATATCTTGGTCAGATTCTGTCTGCCCTGAACGCCGTCCATTCGGCCGACATAATTCACAGAGGTACGGCCTGAGTCTTGACCTGCACAATAACTTATATCGTTCTAGGTCTTGACATTTCTTGCATCTATCTTGCTACGAGAGAGAACAGAACCCACACCAAGATGGTCAGGATGGGAAAAGTTGGTTATCATGCACGCTTGAAGGACTACCACAAGTCTAATCCGTTCGGCAACGGCCTATCAAACGTGAACGAGGATGAGTACATACGTCCTACACCTTGGTAAGTAATGTGGAGATGATACATCAGGGCTCCTCATCATCTGAATGACCATTGCAGGTTATCCAAAGATGTCCTCGAGTCTGTTCTGTCATACACTCGGGGACGCGATATACACAGCGTTGGAGTAATTTTCATGCAAATGGTCGATGGAAGAGACGTCATGAGGCAGTTTAGTGATCCTAATGAGGCTGTGCAAGCCGGTAATCCATGTTCTGTCACGCTTTATTATGCTGAAGCTTATCTCGCTTTTTAGCGGCTCTTTCTCCCACTCTCCAAACATGTGCGCTGAATATGTTGGTGCACGCGAAGAAAGTTTCCTGCTTGAGCCTTCTAGCGGATCTGGCGTCGGCGGCGCCTCTTCAATCTCTACGACGAATTGGAAGTCCCACGACAATTCCATTCATTAATACCGGTAGCACTAATGCTTTATTTTCATGTCTTTCATCCTTACATATTTGTCCAGATCTCAGGACGCCAAAACCCAATGGATACTTCGGCTCTCCAGAGAATGACTACTTCCGAGTTCCTCAGCGCACTGCTCCGGCCAGTCGTTGGAAGGAGGATTGGGAAGAGCTCGAACTCTTGGTATTCTAATGTACACGATCACCTGTTCCCTCGCTTACGCTAGTATTCAGGGCAGGGGTGCCTTTGGATCTGTGGTCAAAGCTCGAAACAAGATTGATAATCGCATCTATGCTGGTATGTGGTTTTAAATTCAAGAAACGGATGTTTAATAGATGCGCCGATATATAGTCAAAAAGATTCGCTTGCGATCAGACAAGGACGACAACAAACTGTTCCGCGAAGTGAACGCTTTAAGTCGGCTGTCGCATCGTTTCATCGTCCGATATTACACGACGTGGATTGAATTCAATGAGTCAAACTCAAGCATACTATCTTCAAACTCTGACACTGGATCTGATTCTGGGACTGAGGGCGGCATGACATCCGTGCCCCAATCATACGAGCGCGAGACGTCTGATCCATTCAAGGTAAAATTGGAAGATCTGGACGATTATGGGTCCAATAAGACATCTTTTCCGAGCATTCATTTCACACGGCCCGAGATCAAGAATGATAACCAAGAAGAGGACGAAGAGGACGATGACAGCGATGGAGATTTTGGCAATCTCTTTTCCTCAGAATACACCACAGACGAAGATACTCCGAAGGATCCTATCCAGCCTCGAACGTTGTACATACAAATGGTAAGATCTGCACACCATGAGCGTCTTCACTGAATTCATTTCTTCACCCAGGAGTTTGTTGAACGTCAGACTCTGAAAGAGGTGCGATATTCGTTACACAAGCTTTACATCGGTCGATTGAACGAGTATCGTCCAGCGAGTGGCAGAGGGTTTGTCTGAAGATGAGGCTTGGCGGTTGTTTTATCAAATCCTCGATGCCTTGGTGCACATGGGTAGCATGGGTATTGTATGTGAAGTCTCACTCGACTTTCTGTCTGTTCTCACGTCACACTAGCTTCACCGAGACATCAAGCTTACGAACATCTTCATTGGTATATCCTACTTTTACCTGTCTATTCCGATACGCTTACCCTTCACTCAGATGGGAAAGGGGACTGCAAAGGCAAGTGCTTGAGATGTACTCTTGAATGCTGGATTTGACGTCATGACCAGTCGGAGATTTTGGTTTGGCCACGTCAAGTTTAGCTGCTGTTGACCCCTCAGATCTATCACCGTCTGTCGTTCATTCAGACTCAGAACTAACGCTCGGTTTGTCACAAATTGTTCAACAGCGATCAACGCTGACGCTGAATAGAGGTTGGAACTAAGTTGTACATCGCTCCCGAAGTCCAGTCTAGGAAACGAGGACCCCGCAATCACAACAAAGCCGACATGTATAGTTTGGGGGTGAGCAAGCTTTCAGAATCCGCTGAACATAGCCTCATGCTTCTTAGATTGTTTTCTTCGAAATGAACTTTTCTTTTTCCACGGGAGCGGAGCGTATAGCTGTGCTCGAAGACCTAAGGAAGCTCGAGGTATACTTCCCTCGAGATTGGGACCCTCACCGTTCGAACCAGAAACAAAGTTGGTTTAGATTGACTGACAGCATTCTAATGTGCTGATTCATTGCAGTTATTGCAGCGCTCCTTCGCCATGACCCTGCCGAGCGCCCAAACGCATTGGAACTCTCACAGAGCCCTCTTCTCCCTCCTAGAGTGGAGGATGAATACTTCAAAGGAGCTCTGCGGATGATGAGTATGTACCTATCCATACAAAGGTCGATGATGCTTATGCGCAAGCGGCAGCTAAACCGGACTCTCCGTACCACCAGGGCGTGTTGTCTGCCTTATTCAACCAACCTGTAAATCAGGCTCGAAGCTATTTGTACGACATTGAAGCTGAAATTCCCGAGCACGCATACCTGAACGACATCGTTGAGGACCGAATTGCAGCCATCTTTCGACTTCATGGTGCAGTTGACATGGAACCTCCGCTTTTACTACCGTCATCCAATCCCGAAGAGTGCCACAACCATGCTACCCTCATTGATCGTCACGGAGAAATGGTTTGCTTGCCAAACAACGCGCTGGTACCTTTCGCTCGGTTGGCTGCACGAGCCGGACTGCGAAGAATCAAGCGATTCCATATCACGAATATTTATCGACCAAAGCGAGTTCCTCCAAGCTTCTTTCAAACGTGTTTGTAATGACCGTTCGACTATCCACAGCTCCGCCCCAGGACATCCAAAGGCTACAAAAGCAGCGGTTCTTGACGTCATCACTCCCGATACCAAGCATGGGATGATGGCAGCCGGTGCCGAGTTCCTCATTCTTCTCAGCAATTGCTTGAACAGTTTCCCAAACCTTGCTCAGAACTACGAGATCCATATCTCTCATTCTAAGAGTATAAAGCTTTTTGTGTTTACCTGACTTTCGCTAACATGGAACTAGTCGCGGATCTTGCTTTGAATCGTATTCCGGAGGAGCTCCGTTCTTCGGTGATAGAGATCATTAATCAGTCGAAGTCTACTGCTCCACAAAAGCGAGTATCCTTGTTGAAGAAAGGCCTCTTGAGGAGTACGACGGATGAATTAGAGGCCCTTGCTGAAATAGGTGATCTAAGGACAGGCGTCTATGTGCATGAGCTGATTGTTGGAATAGATGAGGACATCGACACTCACCTATCCAAGCTTGAGAAGGTTTCACCCACCCTTGTTACGGTCATGAAACCCGCCGTGGAGGAAATCAAGCAAACGATTCAGTTTGCCACATCTGCGGGATTCTCTGCCCCCGTCTTCTTCCATCCCTTAATGTGGGGCGCTCATCACATGCATTTCAAGGAAGGAGTGCGTATCGAAGTAGTCAGGCGAACTAGGCGGCTGGACGTTCTCGCTGCAGCTGGACGGTATGTCATCCAAGGTTGAATTCGATGTTGCTTGACATTTATGATAGATACGACAATCTCATCGCCCAGTATTCCAATCCGAAACCTAGGTCGGATTCTATCTGTGCATTCGCCGTACAAATCGCTCTTGAGAAGATCGCGATGGTCTTAGCGGCCTTCCAGAGCACCTCCGTCAAAGCACTCGTTAAGGAACAGCGGTCATTCGGTTTCTGGAGCCCTCGGAGATGCGATGTTTATATCCTTTCATATCAAGCAGGCTACTTGCAAGACCGTTTGGAAGTTGCTTCTTTACTGTGGCAGAACAACATCAGCGCCGATATCATGTATGATGCCAACATCGTGGAATTTGAACATGAGAGTCACGTCGACTTATGCACACGCGAAGGAATACTGTAGGTTCAAAACCAGAATTGCCTAAATCATCCACGCTGACGTCTGGCATCAGATTCGCCATTTATCCTCGACCCCGCACCGTGCGCCGCGAGCAGGCCGCCTTTAAGGTGAAAAGCATCTTGAAAGGCACAGTTTATGAAGGTCTGAATTTTCTGATCTTTTCCACCTTTCGGGGCTGATCGAAGGACAGTTTCACGCCAAGATCTCGTCGGCTGGCTTCAACACCAGATTGCTGAGCAGAAACGCGTAGACTTGGCTACCTCAGGCTCATCTGCTTACCCTGATACGCTTACGGTTCCTGTGCCATCCAAGGACGCATCTACCCCTGAAGTACAACTCATTCTACCTGTCGATACAAAGAAGCAGAAAAAGCACGTCAAACAAATCCTTCTTGATCGAGGTAATGTCAATTCCAGATATAATTTCAAACTGACTGATGTATGTTTAGCGTACGAAAGGACTGGGCACCTTAAAACAGCAGTACAAAACGGGCTGCCGATGCTTGCTGTTGATGTTCCAAACGCGGTCTTTGATACCCTGATAAAGAATTCCTCCTGGATCACTGATGAAGAGACCTGGAAGGGAATTACAGCGTCCATGCCTACTGTTCACATGGCGTATGCTCAGCAAATTCGCGAAGCAGCTGCTAAGCGAAAAGCTGAAGGATTCCCGTATTTGCTGCTCTATGCCACACGAGAGGAGCGTATGCAAATTCTTACTCTCAACTAGGTCCGTTGTGACAGTTTTTCAAACCTTACTTTATGATGTCCACCGCCCATGGTGATTTGTAGTCATGCATTCGTATTCTCTCGCGCAGGACTTTGTATTACTGGAACCACAGATTTCTCGTATAGTGTATTTTAGTACTGCAAGATTCAATTGGTCCTTCCTACTTGCTCCAAGCTGTGAAAGTCTCCTGGAACCCATCGGCATTACCACTGGAGCGGATGACCCCATTCTGTGATACGCTGAGCTGGTAAGTAGTGGCTACGGTTGACACGCTGTATGCAATGACGTTCGACGCGGAATCGATGTTGAAGATTTGTGCTTGACAAGTGTTAGTGGTCAAACAGGTTTGGCTATAATTCTGAATAAAAAAATCGATTCGGATGAGTAGTAAAAGAACGGATAGCGCAGTTCACTCACCTGGAAAAAACTATAGAAGCCCGCTCCTGTACGTTCGATTATTAATGGTGTGCAAGAGCAGCGAAGTTAAAGTGAATACCAAATATGATGATGTTGCTTGAAGACTGGATGTACATTCCCCAGGCCATGTTGATCGAACTCGAAAAGGTAGGGTCGTTGTAAAATGAGACAGTGCTATAAGGTGCTGGCGCAGCCGGAGAGGGTTGGTAATATGGCTTAGGCGGTATCAGATGGAATGAACCTGATATGAAGATCAGTCCATACCGTCTCAGTCTGGGCAAAGCCAATATAGTGGTTCTGAGCGTTCACCAGGCTATACTGGTACAGCGCAGCGTGTTCAGCTAGTTTGATGAGCATCGTGACAATGTCCCAGTCTGGTGATCACTCACAAGCTAGGTCAGGTTGTCAGGGCGAGGTCACGAGAGTTACAAAGGTCACGCACATGTGCCAATAAGCCATACCGGGCCATGAGACTCGGAAAGAATCCCGCGACCAGTAAAGATCGAGATATCAGAGGAGCCGGAAGTATCAAGGTCGTGGTCGGCGGTCCAGACCCATGTGCCCTATGCGACGATATCAAATTAGAGATTTTTTGGGGCTTCTAATCATCGTACTTCAAGGTATGCACTCGATCCAGAAGTCAAATATATCCCAAGGAAAGCAGCCTGACAAGCACTGTTGACAGAGCCTGAGGGACATTGTGAATACTGCATGTTCGTTCCGGCAGCTAACAAGGAAGAGTCAGAACGCTTCTTCATCAGCAAATCTCGAAAGATTTACCTCCACCCAACCTGTACCATCATCATTAACGTATCCAAAATCCACTAGAGAATCAAAACCAACCTAATATGGCTGTCCCACATTCCTGCAGCCGCTTGCTGACCAGATGGATCGTGCACGTTCCACTCGATCATTATGGCACCAGGAGCTGTGAGAGATCAGCTTCAGAAATAAGAGAGACTGTTTCCACACGTACCTGGGCCTGCAGTAGTGAAGACCATGTCGCTTATCTCCAGGACACCTTGAGAGCTCGCTGCGCCTGCTTGAATAACCGCACGAGGGTTTTTCTGATCGCTGAAAGCACTCCCGCCGGCCATGATAACTGACCAGGCTTCACCGACAATCTGAGTTCCGGCGGGGATGGTAATGGTATCGGTCACATGATAGGTTCCGGCATCGAAGAAGATGATCTTGCATCCAGCGTACTGATGAAAATTATCAACTTGACTTCGGCAGGGTAAGGTAACAAAACACGCCTCATTAAGAACACTTTGAATAGCGGCAGTGTCATCTGTGTGGCCGTCGCCTTTTGCACCTTGGCTCTTGATGCTGATGAATTGACTGGCAGCATAGCTCGCGTACTGAGGATGAGCTTTTCCGAAGATTCGTCCAGCGCTATCCAAAAGTACGGAGGGCTTGTTCGCAGAGACAATATTTCCTTGTACAAAATTCTTGGATCCACTGGTTCCGGAATACACATTTCCTTGACCCCACGAAGCGATTGTCGTCGTACCACCAGCAAGGACTGTGGCTCCGCCTGCAACACCAACTGCGGTGGGAACATTGCTCAGCTTGATGTTATTGAGAACGAGGGAGCCAGCCAGTTGACCATTGCTCGCTACCGAAGAGCGAACGAAAATGGGGGTATTAGTCACAACTGCGTCGATGATAGCCTCTGAACCGACGGTCTAGACAGTATTCAGCTACTTGCAAGGTCAAACATTTGAGAAGGCGAACCTGGTTGCTTGTTGTCGTTCCACCTGTCGCCAAATCAAAGCCGACCTATTATCTGTCAACTCTCTTCGATGATATTTACAAGTTCAACGCATACTTGACAATTGTTGATCGTGACTCCTTGAAATGTGAATCCTAGAAGAATGTGAGAACTGCATAAATTTCAAAAAGCTGAGCATTACCCCAATTCCAGATGCCGGAGACAGCTGCCGATCGATATTGGTATTTAGTGTATTGTGACTTATTGATGGACGAGAGGACAAACCAGTAGCGGCATTGTTGACGGTCAGATTACGAACCGTAAACTGCTGGTTACCAACTTGGATGCCGTACTTTCCTGACGAAACGTCACCAAAGAACTGACAAAAACCATTATATGTGTTTACCTCCGTTGAATATGATGTCTGATGCGTAAATTTAATCTTCTTATTCTCGTATCAAGACAGAATGTGCTCACCTCCCATGAAACCACCACTGGTGACCGTATGTTGAGAATTAGGATTCAAGATAAGAAGGCGAGCCTCTTACCTCCCATTCTCCATGAACATGCCTTGGTGATTGTTATTGGAAGCGGTGGACATCTCGACCACGATATTGATGAGCGAAGTGGCTTGCGAAACCTGCCAGTGCAAACCAATTGCAGAAGTTGATGCAGGGATTTGCCTAAGGTCGATTATCAAATTACGAATGGAACGATAACTGGACGTCCATGAGCCATAGTGCACCGTGCACAGAAAAAACGGCATACAAGTTGTCCTGGTTAGAAAACCATTGAGCGCCCCAGCCATTGGGAATGTAAGGATCGGCATCTGGGCAAAATCTATGTAAGGCAGCGTCCACAATGAAAATGACGGATCAGGTACCGATGACTGCAAATCCATTGAAAGACGAGCTGGCAAGGAGGGTCGGAGGTTTCTTTGCATCTCCGATCATCTGAGTGTAATAGTACGTGTCAATCGCCGAGGAGACGAGATAAGTGCTGTCCGATGGTCAGCAGGCAATCTCGTGATATGAACGAACAGACATACCCTGCAGGGAAATACACGATGGCCGGAGTAACACTAAATACCACAATCGGTTAAAGTACTTGCAGAGAATCAGTGACACTCTGCACTGACGTGGAAGAATTACAAGATCCACCACCGCAACGTCCACCGGAGGACATGGCCGAGCTGGGATATGAGTAAGTTAATGCTTGGAGTGAAGAAAAATAACATGCTTGATAGCAGCAGTATCGTCAGTGATACCATCGCCCTTGGCTCCAAAATCCTTGACATTCCTGAAAACCTGGTAAGAACTCGGGTCCGAGTTGAAGGCCGAAGTTCCTTGATGCTTGACGGTCTGAAGCCAATAAGGATCACTTGGAGCTGCTGTTCCACTACCCAACGGCGCTGAGCAGGATGTGCCCAATCCGGATACAAGAGTGGAAAATGCTAACAGTGCACTCAACAGGAGAGACTTTGAGTAACGCGACATTGTTTACTTCAGGTGATAAAGTGAAAGCACTAAAGAAAGTGGGCACAAACCAACACCTTTTTATGCAGTGGAGTAGACAACTGATAGAATCAGGCGACCTCTTGATTAGCAGTGCTTCAAGAGCCGACAAGAGAGGTATGAAGTCCATGAACAATCCCATGACATACAGTTCCGAACGGAACGTTTTCACTTATGGGAATCTGCCCCATATGACAGCAAAGCTTGTAGCAAGTGTACCACGAGGTGCCACGGAACTACAGCCCGTCCATGTAAGTGATTCCTACTAACACATGAAATATGCATTTCAATACATTCGGAATGGGCTCACCTAGCCCTTCATTATTATCACAGAAGATACTGGATGAGTTAGTACACGGTGACTAGCAAATTGCCAGAGCCCCAGACTTGTAGCGACTTGCATGCATTATTGCCTCAAGTATAACGACAGCTTGTCTTGGATGATTTGGCTATCAAATTCGTCGTGCTATTGGATAGAAGGTCGCAGCGTAATTGAGACGCTCCAGGCTATCCGCAAGCAAGTCATGCACCTGATGAGGGAGAAAAGGGCAAGAGTGTGCTTCACTCGCTTCTAAAGCTGCTCGACGCGAAAGACCAAAGAGGTAACGAAGCCTTGCTTTTAAAACTCCGCGATCCTTCAACGGGAAGGGTCTTGATCAAAACCCAACAATGATCACATTTCGTTCCCCAGTAGGCCCGAGTGGGCCTGGATGGTCTTTCGCTCTGAAAAGACATGGTACTCACCATTCTGTGAGTGTCCAAGGCCACCCGCCCTTGCACTTAATGCTCATTCATTTACCGGATGAACACGATACCTCGAGAAAATCAATGCACTAAGACAGCACGCACGTCTTGTGATGAGTGAGTGCCCAGAACTCTTACCATGATTCCGAATTCAGTCAGGGTGTCCTTACAATTGACCGAACTAGTCAGTCCATCTGTGGGAATGACAGTGTATCAGTAATCTCACAGACGCGTACAGCATCACGGGTTGCCAGTACACATAAGATTTGCCCCAGTCTCCCCTAACTTGTCAGACCTATTGAAGAAAGACCGTTGTTCCTTCTAATAATGCTCCCCTGAGAATTGATCTTTGCAGGGATTCAAGTGTCTTGGCTGCAGTAATAACTCTTTTTAGTCTCCCCGATATCCGGACACCGGTACGCCCGACTTTGACACCGCACATGCACTTCAAGTGGTGAGTAAATTACAGTTGATGTCAGATGAGCCACGTTGTCTTTTGAATGATTTTTATTGAAATCAGGAACAAGCCCCATCGAGAGACTGCACGGGATTGGGTGGATGCCGATATATCTTCAGCAGCATCGAGAGACAACGCTGACACCAACCGCATGTGATTGGTTCAAGTGTAGTATGAGACAACACTCACTAGCATTGCGTCACTCCACATGGGTCACAGTATTGTTGGTTGTATTGACTCATCAGTTCCGTCTTGAATGCAGAGTAATACTTTGTAAGCAGAAAGTGCAGGCCGATCGACGAAGGTGCACAATAGCAGGCA